CAACATCTCCTAGTACCACCTGAGCTATTGCGTTGGAATCAAAACCTTTTAAAAAAACAACATATTTATCAATGAGCTGAAAATGATAATTACAAACCAGGAGTTACTTTTTGTTTTCCACTTTCAAAATGCTCGTGAAAAGTGTACCATTCCACGTCTGTAGTTCCAGTGCGTTACCATGTTTGCAATGTAAACCCCATTGAGAATGAAAGAGTGGAAGGCAAAAGTGTTTTTTTTACCAGAAGTAGTCACTCTGTGAAGTTGTACAAGTTAGTTCTAAAAATAATACATCTGTTGGGAAAAGTCATTTCAGTTTTGTTTGCCTGCCAAAGGGAGAACAGATAAAATAGTTTTGAAAGAAGTTGTGTCTTGACGTTTTTTCTGCTGCTATGATATCCTTATTTTTTCTTTCTTTCTGTCTTTTTTTAGCTTTTCAGCTGAGTTTGACTTGCGCACCTACGACCCTGAGGGAGTGATCTTCTTTGCCGGAGGTCACCTTAACAGCTCCTGGATCGTTCTGGCAATGCATCATGGGAAGCTGGAGCTACAGTTGAAGTACGGTTCAGTCAGCAGGGTCACCAGCAGCGGGCCTGTTGTCAATGATGGCCAGTGGAGAAAGGTTGGAAGTTTTTGTCATGCACCATTTAAAAAAGAAAAATAACTCTGTGTACTCAGAGCTTCATCAGCACATTGAAAACTCTTTAAATGCTTTGTTTTTGTCTCAGATCTCGGTGGAGGAGCAGGGCCGGAGTCTGGTGATTAAGATCGACAGAGAGGCCGTCATGAAGATAGCAGTAAACGGTGATCTGTTTACACTAAAGAAAGGCATGCATGAGCTTAACCTCACCGTGGGAGGAGTCCCTTTTAGAGAAGACGGCCTCGTCAACCAGGTATGTTTATTTATACGTGCTTGTGTGTTTTCCAAAGTGTGTCCCAAAACAAGATGTTCAACTGTCATGTACATGGCCTAGGTGAACCCACGTCTAGACGGCTGTATGAAGGAGTGGAGGTGGTTGACTGGTGAAGATACATCCATACAGGAAACTGTTCGGTCCAACGACAACATGCAGTGTTTCAGCACCGAGGATCCTGGAGCGTATTACCCCGGCACAGGCTTCGCTCTCTTCAACATCAGCTATGGTTTGTGTTTGTGTGTGTTGATGTGTGTTAGGAGCTTGGGGTAATTTAACTGACCCTACTTGCTTCCTCCTGTAGTCATTAGTCAATGTTTGGGTTTACAGTTAGTCCGCCTCCATCATTTCTTACTCTTTTGTCAACAATTTGCCTCTTCAAAAAGTTCATGACCGGCTGTTCCGTCTCTTCAGAATCACAGAACTTGAGTGTCCGGTTGATCCTGCGTCCAACCTCTGCAATGGGAGTGCTGTTTGCACTTGTTTATCAGGACAGAGTCCCTCTCTCCATCTCTCTAGCAAACTATAATCCCCTCACTGAAGAATGGCGAGATGTGAGTACTTAAAGCGTAGTCTGTTGCTATCACTGTATATGTGATCTCCGCGCTGACCTTCTGTGTGTCTTCAGTTCATCCTAGTATCTGTGGATGATGTCATCATTGCCAGCTCTCCTGCGCCCCTGTGTGACGGCGATAGTCATGAAATCCAGGTGACTATCTCAAGCAACCAAACCCTGCTGCTGGTCGACGGGCACCCTGGACGTAGTGAAGGCACCGAAGTACCTGTTGAAATCCTGTCACAGTCGAGCACCTTTATAGGAGGCATACCTGGTGAGGACTGAGACATGTATACAAACATTTAACACAGTATGCAGAAAAAGTGTATATGGCCATGCTATGCACATTGTTGTGGGATATTAAAGCATTTTACTTTAGTCGACACAATTTTGGTGGAAAACAAAAAGTATACAGAGGACAAAAAACATGATTTTTTTCTTATTTATACTGTATATAGACTTTAAAACCACAAAAGATGTGCTGATCAAGTGAATAACCAAAATATCTCTAACTATTAACAATCTCAGCCAAAGTTTTTTGTTCCTCCAGTCAATTAAAAATGATCTAACCTAGTGTCTGATGAGAATAGACGATTAAGTCTTAACATTTATGAGTAGCTCAAATACTTTTATATCAAACCATAACATTGACTTATAATTGTGATGTCTGCAGCGACTGGGAGATGAATCCGAATAAGGAACAACAGCCCTCAATTTCCCAGAACTGAAAAGCAAACACATTAAAGGATTTCATTTTCGTTTTCACTAAAGTAAACACTTTGATAACAGTTGTCATGTATTCATGTTAATTGACTTCAGTCTGTCAGCAAACACAAAGTGCCTTCACAGTCATTGTTTTACTAAGCGCCCACAAAGACCATCTTGGTTAATTGCTATGTTATCATTTCCCTCCCTTAGATGTCCCTCTGGTGTCCACGCTGGTGTCGGCACCCTACAGTGGCTGTATGGAGGTCAGTGTTAACGGACGGCCCCTGGACTTGGACCAGGCCATCCACAAACACAATGACATCCGCTCACACTCCTGCCCCCTGCTGGACTCCCTCCAGTGACAGCAATCAGTCTGCCAAAACTGATCCATTAGTAGTTCATTGAGGCAATGGGGATCATTTCCAACATATTTATAAACGCTTTGAACAGTGGGGTGATGTTTTAGTTTGGAATGAAAAAAAATAAAGCTGGACCTGATATCATGATGCAGCTCAAGCCTTAGCCCAGGACCCTGTCTTTTATCTGGGATGAACCTGCTGCCTAAAGGCATGAGCAGGGAATTTTATGGTGCTGTAAATCAGCCGATGGCCAACAACCTCTACTAGGTAGCAGATATGGGAATAAATGCTGCTCAACATTGCCTCAAAAACTGCCCATGTATCACAGCCTTGTTAGCCCTTAAGAACACACAGGGCCTTATCTTAATCAGTGTCAAATGGTTGGTCTTTAGTCGGCCTATTAAACACCCGGTATCCTGTGCTTAAATGTAGATCAAAATGGACTTGTGTTGGCAAAGCTGCGTTCACATTGCTTACATCCAACATCACCAACATTAAGGTCCATGCTCAAAAAGCTTGAAGTAAGCGAACGCTTGTTTGACATTTGACAATAAAATGACAGACAGTAGTCCAACATGAGCTATCGTACACGCAGAAATTGTTGGAATCTGCGACTTAGAGGTTGATTGGGGGCTTAAGCAATATTATCTTTCCCTAACAAGTTGAATCCCCTGTTGTCCCCCTGCAGGGAGGCGTGGTATCAGGCATTACTTTGTGTTCTGTAAAAAAAGAAAAAGAGAAACCTTGCACAGTGTTGCAGGCAGAAATGGACTTCATAAAGCCATTTTGACTTAAAGCAGCACTCCATGTCTGCCTGCAGCCTTAAAAATCAACCATGTGCCTCCAAAGAACAACAAACCCAAACTTATAACAGCTTCCCTTCAAACGGGTGAATCATTTCACAATGGTGCAGTACTGTAACAAACAAGAGGTAAACGTTGTACTCGCTGCAGAAAGTACGCTATGCATTCATCGGTGGAGTCTTGTAAACATCTTGCTGACACCCTGATTCTGAATAATCTTCAATCACTATTCTCGTCACAAAGGCCCCCTTCTTCCCCCAGAATCACCCACTCACAGTGAAAAACAAAAAACCTGCCATAAACCGATTTAAGGAAAATAAATAAGTCACAGAAGCACAGGGACACAGGGAGGGGGCCCTCTCCAAGAAGGAGAGACAGTGAGCACTGCATCGAAACGCACCAAACAAGCTACTGAAAGTAAAAAAAAAGAGTGCGCTGTAATATACTGAATCTGTAAATAACGTGACTGTACAATGCTTTATAGAAGACATGAAACGAACACTACCTTTATGCTCATCAAGGTTTTTTTCTGCATATTTGAGTTTACCCAAAGTCAAACGGTAACATGAGTCTCTACTTCATCTGCTTACTCTAGAAAAGATCAAAAACAAAGATCGTTTCATTGAAATGGAAATTAGGAGACTGTGCGAGCCATTCCTGGGTATCAAAGTATCATGGAGTTTTAATGACGTTTTTAATTGACTATTTGATTTTATAGGTGCTAGCAAATCAAAACACAATAAAAAAAAAAAAAAACAAAGAATGTCAGAGGAGCGTTGTGATTGAATGCCAAAGGGCTCCGGTGTTTCTTTCCTTTTCCTCTGTAATGTATCATTTCTAGTTTTACTGATGAATGAATGCCAGATTATAAGAGCTTGACGAGTTAATGTTTGTTTTTATCTTGTGTTGTGTATATTGAACTTTAGTTTTTATTTTTCACTTTTACTGCCAGTGTGTGTACAATGCTGAGAGAAGTCTGCCTTTCAGTTTCAACTTCTCCCAACAGTGAAAAATCCTATTTAAAAATAAAAGCAGTTGTATGAACATCATAGGGTCAAATTGTATTTTCAAAAGGAATGCTTTTGTATGCTGTGTGCTTATGTTCAAGATAAACTTTTTATGTGTTGCTCAATGTGTGCCATGTTCATTTCCTTACCTCACCAGTAGTTCACTTTTTTTTCACAACAGGTTCACACTCAGGCACACGACTCTCACTAGATGAAGACTGAGCTAGCTCCATTTTCTGATCACTGTTAAGAAAAATCCTTCAGTCCTTTAGTGTAACTTTTATAGTATGTAAGTATGTTAAACAGTAGTACACGTAGAGGACAGTCACAACTGTGGCTATTGAGCTAAGCAAAATGTTACATTTAATAAACACAATGAAACACCTCGTCATACATTAGAACAGGTGATCATTTAAAGGGAAAGTTTGACATTTTTGGAGATGCTTTTATTCTCTGTATTACCAAGTGGTAAAAAGTTTAGCATCAGGAGGAAGCTTTAAATAAAACACTCCCTCCAGAAGTTGCTAACTGAATGTAGCATAAAACCAAAAACGGGGAGAAAAAGCTTTTCTGTGCCTTCCCCTTTTAAAATGACAAATTATAGTTTGTATTCGCATTAAACAAGTGAGATAAATGTGTAATTATTCTCCCCGTCTTCATGTGACGTGAAGCTGACAGCTGGCTGACAGTAGCTTCATAATTGATCCAACTTTAGATTGGTATTGATTGTGTCATTGAACACTCTGCTAATAACTATTTTATAATCTCTAAAATGTTGAACTCTTCCTTTAACTCAAACATCTTTACATCTGGAGCCCTTGCTCCACATTAATTTGTGTACAACACTGAATGAATGCATTTCTAATAGGTGTGTCTTTAATACATAATGTATTCAACAGCAGCAGCAGCTACAGAACTGCATCCCACAGCAGTTAACATGCATTATCAATAATGAATACAGTTTATTGACTTAAAGTGCACATTAAACGAGTCACACAGACACGCAACATCAGCATCCTTTACATTTCTCTATCCAAAGAAAGCCCTTTTAATTACTTGTACAGTAGTCAGTATGGTGAGAAAAATACACAGGAAGACCTCTGATCCAATCGAGCAAAGTTAAAACGGACACAGCTATCAGATCACTGTATTACCACACGTTTGTAACATGAATTCATCTGACGGCCAGATAAGGCTTCAAGGAAAGAGTTTGGGAAATATCTGGGGCTGAGATGTGAGTGAGCAGTTTCTTCAGGGTCATCTGGCACTACTAACAATGAATAGTTCTGCACGTAACGCGCTGCTTTTTTGGTCATTTTTGTTGTTTTAAAATTCAGTACAGATTAACATAAGAGCTGCAGCTTCATATTTACGTCTTGAGTCTCCTATTTCCCAAACTCTTTCCTTTAATCATGTCTATATAATTACACTACAAAGCTCTAAATATGTGTCTCTCCTCAGTGCCACCACATGAAACATCAGCACAGAGCAGTCGTGAAGCTCAATGAGTGTTTGGTGTCTACATGGTCACAGTTAAAATGTCTTGTGCTACATCCAGTCTGATCAAGCAGGATGGTTTTTTTTTTCTCCAACATGCCCTCTTGTCTGCACGAGGGCTCAGCAGGCGTAAGGCGGAGGTTTTTCAAAGGGGCTGTAGGCTGATCCGTAGAGGACAGGAGCGTTTGGTGTCAGCATGTAGCCCCCCGGTTCTTGGATGGCTCCCTGAGGCTGTGGCTGGCTGGGAGCCTGAGAGGGCTGCTGGCTCTGGTTCTCTTCGGAGAGGCCAGAGTTGGAAGCAAGGCCTCCGTTAGAGATCATCTGGGGAGTAGAAGGTTGCTGAAAGCTGCCGTTATGCTGTGGGAGAAGAGACAGGGAGTGGTAGGCTGCAGAGAGGTATGTGGAAGTAGAGCCAAGATATCTGAAATCATTTCAGACATTTTTATGTGGAATGAGCCGTTCTCTGGGAGTTGCCACAGAAATATCAGCAAAAATATGAGCAGTCATCACTTTTTTAAACCTGTGGAAAACATTACATATTTATGGAAAATCCTGTGAGGATTTTTTTAGCAAGTAATAATAGAGCTCAAATGTATACTGACGTCTCTATTTGACCTTCAAAAGTAAACAAGACCATCACTGACTAGATTGATTATTTCTTATAGAGTTACTCTAACAGCTGCTACCATGATAAAGATGAGGCAGTTGCTAAAACAGCCTAAATTTACATTTTCCACAACTAAGACTGACAGCGATTGATACATTTGACTGTCAAAAGAAAGCAGGATTGGATATGTCAGAAGAATAGAATTTCTTTACAGGGCAAGATCAGTGAAGAGCTAAGTCATGCCATTTTCTTAACAGGGGCGCCAAACATGACGCAAACCAAAAGTCCCTCACTGGATCTTTAAAAAAACACTGCTGATGTATCTAGAGATTCAAAGTAAGATGAGTGGTTTGTTTAGGAATTACATCGCAGTTTATGCAGTTCAAGACAAAGGCATTCTCCATCCCACAAACTGATCAGAATGACAAATAGGAGAATACACACATACAGCCATAACTATGATGATGATGATGATGATGATGTCATTATTTTTGCAAGGATTTAGAAATTAACCAAGTAATTGAACACATTCTACCTTGGTGGTAGTGCTACATTAAAATTAAAATCCATCCTCAATCTTTACCATCTATGTTTTGACCAAATTTCATGACAATCATCTCAAAGGTTGTTGTTATAATTCAAACAAAAAAATAGACTTCACCTTGGAGCAAAAGAAAAACTCTGCCAATCATTAAAGCTGGTTGGGTTTATCTTCTGGACTTTGCTATATTTCAGTCTAAACTGAATCCGTCCACAGACTCATTGCTTCGATCTGTGCCACTTAAGGCTCAGAAATTGTCTTCATGGAACAAGAAAGTTGTCTTTTATTGTTCAGCAGATATTTAATTCGTAAGACAAATAAAAAATGGTTTGATGTTTGAACGTTACAAATCTGCAGCAGAGCAGGTGAATGTGTTTTTGTTCCAGTGCTTTGATGTCGGAGTAAAACAGCTGTGCTGGTGCTGTGAAAACATATTTTATGTCTGCTGCTCATGTGGCTGCCATACTCAAACAATGCGAGGGAGGAAGAACTTTATTCACTGAAAGCATTTTTTCCTAGCCTTAGTGAGAGGCACATGTCATACTTTATAATAAATGACGGCTCTGTTCCATTCCTGTGTCCCAGTAGAATCACAATGAACCAGCATGAACCCTACCAGGACAGTGAAACTGGAGCAGCCGAATGATTTCTTCCTAATTCATTTTCTTTCTTTTTTTTTACTCAGATCCTCTGTGTAACAGGTTTTTGTCTCGCGTGAAAAGGCTGCTACTCTTCTTTTCTTAAGCCATGGCTCCTCACCTGCATTGGTATTGGATAATTGGGGTAGGCGGGCAGAGTCTGTCCTGAAGGGCAGAAGCCGCTGTAGGGGAACATGTGCTGGGTAGGGTTGTACAGGATGTGTGGTGATGGTGAAGGACTGGGAGCCATCGGAGGAGTCGGCTTCTGCTGAGAGAGAGAGAGAGACAGTAAAAAATGCAAAAGTATAAAGACGACCGAACCTCACAGGTAGATGTGAGTGAGTGTGCCCCAGTTATGCCTGAAACTCACACTTTATTTACAGTATATCAGAGGTAAAGACATAAGATAAGATAAGGACCATTTGGGCCAACCAAAATACGACTAGGGACCAATCTAGTCTTTGAGAGAGATTAACAGTGCTTATTTTATTCTGGAGATATTCATTGTTACTGAGTGTTCAGTGTTATCACATTTAAGCATGACGTGTGATGATGAGACATTGAAAAAAAAAGACATGTTAACAAATCAATACTGTAGGCCTATTACTATTTGTTTTCATGCTTTTAAGTCTGCTATTATTATCTGGTAACTTAAGTCCCTTCTTAATGAACAGATAGTGTTTTTATCATTTGTAATACATTAACCTACATAACAGTTCATACTAGCACTGCTGAATTAATGATTGTATTCATAGATAAAACAGTCTGTTTCAATACTCTTCATTAAGTAGTAATCATTTCTAAATGTGTACTCTTGGTTTGACAAACCAGCATTGTAAAGGCGTCACTTTGGGCTTGTGGTTACTTAGACAAATCAGGAAGCTAGACCTTTTAAGTAGAAACGCACTCAGATACTTCACGTCTTTAGAGCTCACCATATCCTTGTAGGCTCCGAGTATGGCTGCAGTAATGATGCCGAGGAACAGGCCGATCACGTTGAGCACCACTGAGGCCCAGAGCAGACGGTGCAGGTGAATCACGTCCCAGCAGCTGTTGACCCCGGTATACTCGTAGTACTTTGTGTGGTGCTCGCTGCTGGAGGAGTGAGAGAGAGAGAGAGAGGGCATGGGGGTCAGTATTACTTAAAGGGCTATAACAGCAATGTAACCTGTGGACTTTATGCTAAAACGTGTCAAAATGTCTGCCATAACAAAAAGGCAAACCACTTTACAAATCAGTGTTTTTTCTTTATTTCAAACCTTCCTGGCAGTGAGGAAAAAAAACAAAGAATTTATTACTTTTACAAACTTTCAGAATTGCAAACATAGCTGCAAGCAGAGGGAGCCTTACAGCTATTCTTTTTTAACAAATAACTCCCACACCAGGGTTTTAAAAGTGGGTTGTCGGAAAGGTAATTTATAATGGGAGAAAGATTAAAAAAGAACAGATGAACCTTGTTAATTTGTGTGTTGTTTAAAAGTGATCAACAGCAGAGCCTAAGGTAGGTTAGGATGTTGTTACATCATTTTCTGCTAATCATGCTAATTAGGAATACCTGGAAGATACAAGGTCAATCTTAAATCATGCAAAAACTCTGCAGTTATGTATAAAGTACATACAAATGTGCAAACTCTTGTTAAGCCCAGTACTTATCTATAACATGTAAACACATAAATGTGACATGTATTGGATCTGAAGAGTGTGTTGAGCTTCACCTCTGACAGTTGTACAGGTAGCAGCAGTAGCAGGAGTTGCTCCGCAGTCTTAGCTTGCACGTTTTTTCAGACGCACGGCACGTTACCTGTTATGTCAGAGGTACTTTAATAAATAGTCATCAATATATCATCCATCTTTATTTACAAAATGCCAAATCTAAACCAAGTTATCTGATAGAGACACAAAGAGAAGGACTAAACTATACACTTCTCAACATTATTTAACAAGAGAATCAACTTAATACCATCCATTTAAAAGCATAAAGAACAGCAAGATAATCAGGAGACAGGGAAACAGTTTCGGTGAAGAAAAGCATCAGCATGTCAACACAACAACTCTGGAACTTCTGTGTGCTTGTAATTTTATTTTGATGAAATCTGAATAAGATGTGAACTGTCATTATTTGACCAATAGATGTCAGTATACACTTTCATTCAGGCACCCAGAGGCTGCAAAGACAGAGAACACCCCAATATCCACCTCTGGATTTTGTCTATATTAACAAAAAGTGCATTTGAAGCATTATTTACACCTTATAAAGGAAAACTTCAGAGACATAAAGAAGTGTGTAAGAGGAGAGGTAAATGGTGATAAATGAATTTGATTGAAACCGTAGACAAGCCAAGGCTACATTTACTTCATGAGTCTAAACGGCTGTGATGAATCGTATGCCACTCAACACAGACAGAAGTAGTTGATGTATTAAAGAAACAGCATGCCATTTCTGTAACTCTGTGTCTCTTGATCAAAACAACAACAACAGATGCTGTTTATGATGTCATGAAATAGTATGGGATTGTGGGGGTTGTTGTCTTCACTGGTATAAACTGTGAAACTAACAATCTTGCCCCATAACAAGTGATCTATAAAAACAGTAGTAAACAACAGAAAGGCTAGTGAGCCATAGCTTGTTAAAAAACTTTATTAAAATCCCTCTGCAAGTTTTATCTACTAAAGTCCTGATGCCCAAAAATAGTAGGAAACAACTGTTATACACATCTCTGAAATATAAGTAACAGCATGTGTAGTGTGGTTGGGGGACATCTCAATGTGAACAGGATGCATATCATGCCTTTAAGTGTGTGTGGATCATATGTATGAATGAATCACCTCAGTGTAGTAGTTGTCGTAGGCGTAGCCCGATCCACTGGTGTAGAAGTCACACATGTCCTCAAGCAAGAGCCTCGAGTCCTGTGAGTGTCACAAACAAAACCTTATCTGGCGTTTTGACCACAGATGTAGTAAATGATGTTTTAGATACAAAAATCTTTCTTTCGAGGGGGTAAAAAAAAACTCCAGAGCATTTCATTGATGCATTTGTTGTTTTTGTGAATCATAGATAACTGCACATGTGTGTGTGGCTTGTGTGAATCTGTGCATCCTCCCGAGGTTACGGTTCGTGCCTGATCTAAAGCCTCCAACGCACCGCACTATAAAACCCACAGTGATGAGCCACAGTGGACTTTATATAATGTGATTGCAAAGCTTGAAGGTGCAATAAATATGACTTTTACTGTCCCGTGTGCACAAAATGAAAATATGTGCTGAGGCTCTGATGGCACTGATGATCAATATCAGTGACTCTGTGCCAGGTGCTGAGAGGTCCAGCTTTTTAAACACTCTCTGGTCCACACTCATTAAGACGCTCATTTAAATTCATGAGGCTGATGTGACCGACTGAGGCACCCACATAACACACACCATAGATTTAAGAAAAAATCCACCTTATTTGACCTGCTTTTTTCTCCTGATTCTCACACAAACATATTCAGATATTTGTACTAATTTCGCAAAATAAATATAGTTATTAAATAAAACAGACAACAAGTCCTTGTAAATATTGTCTAATTTGAAATAGTGTTCTTCAAAAGTCTATCCATGCTTACATGTTTCATTATGATTATTTTTTATATGTGTTTCCGGGTAAAACAAAAGTTTTGTCGTGTTTTTCTGAACTTCTGGACACATTTAATCAGCCCTTCTGTGCTGAATGTTTTCCTCGGCTCTCTGCAGGTCGGCTGCTGAGATTAGTTTGTCTGATCCACATGTCCAAGCTGACAGCTCGGTCTGATTACATCTGCAAAGTTTCTGATCTCAACAAGGTTTCTGTGCCAGTCTTGACCTGCATTCCTGCAAAACCCTTGTTTTTTTTTTTTGTCTGCTAAACTCAGGCATGTAAACACATTTCATACTTACGATAAATTCTGAAGCGATGATCCCATCCACTATGGCACAGAAAAAAGACGCAATGACTCCGATGCTGATGAATATGATTGCTGCTGTGAGCTGAAAGACAGAAGAACGAAGAGGGAGAGAAAAAAGTGTTAAAGTCACGAGGAATATTTTCTTAAAAAGTAAATGTTGCAGTTCGTATCCTCAGAATCAATCCAGTTTATTTACATTTATCAGCTTGTGTTATTTATTCACAACTATATCAACTACAGAGGCATTTTATTTACTTCATCATTTTAAACGTCTCCCTCAACTGATAAACCAGTTTTTATTATATAAAGGCAAAGTGTTATTAGGCTATTCATACACACACACACACACACACACACACACACACACACACACACACACACACACACACACACACACACACACACACACACACACACACACACACACTGGTTATGTTAGCTCAGTGTTTCTGCTCATGTGTGTCCTGATTGGTCCTCTGCAGCGTCTGGGCTGAAGGACGATAAAGAAAATGTATGGCTTCTCGCTCTGCCAACACAGAGGTGCTTTGTGGGTAAATTATAGGCAAAGAGGCAAAGAACAGGAGACGAAGATAACCTTCTTTACCAGCAAGGTCAATCTCATTCTCTCGATCACACACACACACACACACACACACACACACACACACACACACACACACACACACACACACACGGTATTGCTTATCTCTAAGAGTTAGTAAATCATGTGCAAGAATCTGATCACTGATCAAATCATTCTAAATTTCCATTTGAAAATGAAGACACACACATGTTCTGCCATGTAGCGCTTATTTTGTAAGACAGTCTCTCAATAGTTTATACACACACACACACACACACACACACACACACACACACACACACACACACACACACACACACACACACACACACACACACACACACACACACACACACACACACACACACACACACACACACACACACACACAGGGAGTAGACCCAGCTGGCTGATCACAGATGTCTGATCGGGAACTTTATCACTGAGCATCGTTTACTGTCTGTTCAATCGCTCCTCCCGGACCGAACCTCCTGTACTGAGGCAGCAAATTAAACACACTTTTTTCTATACACTGTATCTATCTGTCCCAGAGGGAAGCTGGTATAAAACAATTAGTCGTAGTGCATATATTTAATAAATATATAGTATCCTGATCCTGTATTTACATGATGAGTAACTAAGTTAGATCTTCAGTTACTTTATGTAGAAGTAGATTATCCTCTGAAGTATTCTGACAACCGCAAACAAGTTTACAGCTTTTCCTAATTTGTGTTTTGATTTCCCTTGTTCCAAAGATGCTTTGAGGATTTTTTTCAGATTTTAATTAAACTAAAAATGATGAACTATTTGTTGATTTTCTGTTTTCATTCTTTTCTTTTTTTAATTAACCATTTACTCTTCATTTTATACCAGAACAAAACACATTTTAAATTTGCAACCAAGACACTAGAAAGTCTCGTAGTGGGAGTCAATGAGCCTTTTTCATAAATGACACTTTGACATGTCACAGTAAGAAAATCACAGGTGTGTTATAAAAATTAACAATGGCTGAATTCCATTAGGCTGCATAGTTGAGAAACCTGTGCTTTTTCTACACCGAGAACTCAAAATGTTGGCAATTCAATGAAATATAGAATTGAAAAGTTACAACACTTGCAGCATTTTGTGTGAAATAAATATTAATTTGCTGTGTGTTTAGGTTGACCAATGTTACGTAAGCAGGATTAATTCTTAAAGGACCTTGGCACTTGCACTGCTGCTTTCATTTATCTTGTCTAATTAGATGAAGCTGTCTATTACGTAAGAGAATTAATTAAACATAAACTTAAACATGAGATACACTAGATTTATTTATGAGATGACCGATCAATTGCAGCAACAAGAGAGAAACCTGCAGCCTCCTACATCAGGCAACAGGTCGAAAGAAAAACTTCCATCATGTTATAATCAAACATAAACATATACTGGAGAACTTAAATACACATTTCATGTCTTTAAACCTTGTGTTGCCAGACAGATTTTGTATTTAATTCGCATTCAGCCAATACTATAAATATGTGTCTAGTATCCTGTAATGTAGTTGCCTTGAGAGTTCATGGTCCTATTAAACCCTTTGGGCGGGAGGGATGGGGGTATCTGCTATGAGACTCTAAAATTGACCCCCTGCACCTTTTCAATAACAAATGTGTATACAGCAGTACGTACAGCTGTTTCTTTAGGTTGCCAAGAGACAAACAACTGAAGTGTTATGAAATGTATTTTGTCATCTCAAGGAAAACAAAATCTGATTCCAATTTAAAGCTCACTGTCATGTCTGAGGGGGTGAGGGGGGGATTCAAGATGGAATCCTGTTTGGGGGTTAAATTACTGAACAGGTAGTCAGTTCCTTTGCATTAGTTATGTCATTGAAGCAGAAACTTTTTTAGTGTAGCAGCCAAAGATAAGCCGTAGACAAACTCTATCTGCTATCCGTTTTTGTTAGTTAAGAGTTATTTAGTAAGTCAGTTAGTCAGTTACCTTTTGTTTCCTTTTTATAGCATTTTTTTTTTTTTAACCTTCTATCTCAAGCTTACAAAGCTACTTTTCTCTGTACACAAAAACAATTCTATCAATCTTAAGATTAAGGCATAAAAATTATTATTGCTGCTAGGGTGCCCTTGTATATGTATAAAAACACTGAAGTAGATTTGAATGCCAGCAGTTCCTGAAACTGGGGTCAGTTACCCACTTTGCCCACTTGTTAAGTCTTTGGTTTTAGGGCTCACCTTATAATAAAGGTGTGAGTTGTCTATTTAACTAGGGAAGCAAAGCTTGAACGTGTGAGAGCAATACTGAACAAGCTCAAGGAGCATCTGTCAGTCTCGTTCTCTTTTTGTTTCACAGGTCGGATTTGTTAAAGTTCCTCCTTATTTACATGTGAAATATTGATCTGTACATGTGAGAATAACACATGATTTGTGGAACAAATATTACAAGAGATTTTAAAAATGAATTTCCCTCAAAAAGTCAAACAAAAGGAGAGCTGAGAAAGACTTTTTTTTTTCCTCTGCAGGTTTTATCTGCCACCAGCCCAGACTCTCCACTTCATTAGCCGTTTAAATGACTCTGCTTTTATGGGCTGTAAGTGGGAGATGAAGCCAGCGGCAGAGACAATAGAGCCTGACAACTGCATTACTTCACATTACCTTAGCACCAGCTGCCAGCACATAAAACACCTCAACACACACTCAATATCCCAAACCCCCCCCCAATCTTCCCTAATGCCACTGAAGCAGAGAGAAAAATCCAAATACTGTAAAAGATGAAGAAACACAGACCCACTGTAGACAGTTTTCTGCTCACTGGAGACGAGTCCAGGAGGAAATATCAATAAGAAAGAAGTGTTGGATGTAAGAATATTTTAAAAAGAAGTCTAAGTAAAATTACTTCTATTTAACTCTACGATAAAATGTTACACTCCTACATTTCAGGTAGACAATTTGTGTTTTTATAATGTATATTTAAGTGACAGCTAACTATGAGTATGAATTCAAGTTCTTTAATTTTAATGGATTTTGGCCACTTGGGGGCATCAGAAACAGACCTATAAATTAACAAGATGATCCGGAAAACAGTTAAAAACATCTATCAGCCACAGGCAGACTTCATAATATATCTGTAGATGTTCTTTTGACTCTTTGGTCTCCATCATCTCCAAGGGTCACACTATGTTCACCAGCTAGTTGATAACTGCCTGCTAATGCTACGAGAGCGGTGCGAGTCAACCAAGATCGCATAGCCTCACAACTAAACAGAGCTGAAACCTGTCATAAGAAGGTTTAAGAGTGAAACAGGGGCATGCGCAGACTTTTGTGACTGGGTAGGCCTAATCGAGATTCTGCACAAAAATACAGTATCCTACCGGTCGATGCGCGACCAGATTTTGGTATCGGAAATGTTCATAAAAACAGTCTGTGTAAATAGTAAAAGCGGCAGAAGACGACTGCTGTAATGCAATCCTAGAACCCATTGGCATTCACCTGATAGCGACTTGATTTTAAATAATGTTTATGAAAATACACCTCTGTGCAAGTGCAGCTAACAATCCGCTATTAAATGTATTTTCTCAATACCACCTTCAGTCTCGCTTCTTAAGTTTCTAGTCGGTTCCTACGCATTGCAATGCAGAGGCAAGGAAGTATTGGTTGCAGGTTCTGTATTGCTTATCGCTGGTTACATCCGAATTCCATGAAAAGTTGTCTGACACTCCCAGCTGCTGTATTGTTGTCAGATGGTAACCAATGAGTTACTTCGTTAAGACTAGAAAAGAAGATTTGTTTCCAAAAGTAACAGTATTAAGTATCAACAAAGAAAACCTGCTTCATGGAAATTATATAAAAGCCTCTTGTAACTTTGCACTGACATTTGGTTTGAACTTCAGTCCCGTGCAGGGAGATCATCATTCTACGTTAAATATAAAGGTACCTGGGGTGGCCAATCTACATGGTTTAAGAAGGGGGCAATGTAACCCGTGTACCCGTGTACACGCCCCTGGTGGGAAAGGGAAGCTGCATATTCAGGTGTTAGTAACCTGCAGATTCATGACAATGACCAACTACTTCCATAATAATTGTTAATGTGATCTGACAGACTTTTTTAAACAGAATTAATTATAATAGCCACTTGAATTATTTAAAAAAAAGACCAATGCTAACCGATGCCAAGAGACACACATGAGGAGAGTTTTAGAGAAGATCCATCAGATCCAGATGAGGAGATAAAGACACAAAGAGGAGTTTTATAGGAGTCAGTAAAGATACCTATCAGGTTATGTAAGTAAAGTCGCTGACTGGTGCAAGGTCTTTTTCTCCTGCTCAGCGGTCCAGTGACCAATCATGACCACAGCTGGACACACTGCTAATGGGAACTTGTTGGGTAAAATACGACCCTTTAAAGGTTCACTGTTCTGCTGTCCTGAGCTTCAAGGTGACCAAAAGGGCGACAGTCTGTGAGATACAGACAGTAACTAAAGGCGCCTCGAGAAAAGAACATGAGCCGCATGAAAGGTTGAGCCATAAAAAATCTGAGTGTCAGTGAGGTGAGAATATGAAGGGAGTTTGTATTTTTATTTCATCTTTTAAAGGCTTTCATGCTCCCAAATCCTTTTAAAGATTTTTGGAGGACAAGATTAGAAAAAAATGAAAAATTGAATTACACGAGTCATTAACATTTTTTAAAGCTTTAGTTGAAGAAAAATCATCCACCCATTCGTAAAAAAAGGGCAGGTCCTATCACATTCTGGGCGAGCAGAATTAATCTAAACAATAAAATCTAGAGATATAAAGTGTTCCACAAGGCAACTCGTAAGAAGGCAATTTAATACAGATCTGAAAGGTGGAAAACTATTATTCCTCATTTCTAACTAAAGATTTGCTCTGCATTGATTTAGATGTATTATGTTTGGCTTCCTACTTCAGAATGAGTCTTATTATTCTGTCTGTCACAATGACGCTTTTTCAGCTGTATGGGGCTGAAGACCCTCATTTCATTTGTTTGATTAATGTGTTTTCTACTTTGCCAAAAGGCAGAAAAAAAAGGCTGTAAGATTTCCCAAACAAGGATTCAAATAAACACAAGTTGAAAAACGTGTCTGTCTTCACAGCTAAATGGACATCAAACAACTCGTCAGCTACTTTTCATGTTCAGAGGCAGAGCAGCAAACAGAGCTTGTGACATCCAGGAAGTACAAGAAGCTTCAGAGCACTCAGGTGTCCGTGGTATTGTGATAAAGTTAGTTGTTCTTTAATGAGCAGCCTCCCTCGACCATCTGCAGGCTCTCTTGTTTCAGACACAGGAGGAAAGAAGACACCTGCGTGAGGGGAACATTGAGCCACACTGGCCTCATAGGAGACACCGAAGACCAGCCACCCCAGCGTTAAAGTTTAAAGCACTGGACTGGGAGATAAATAAATCACGATGTCAATGTATTTCATGTTGTTTTCTGCTCTGTGGTCACTCATTTAAAGAAAGGAGTGAGAGCCTACAGAAAATATTTAACTTTTTTAATGATAAAACATTCTTCTATATGTGATACTTTATAGAGAGAGGCTTTTCACATGTATGAACAGCTTTAAGATGGGTATCTGCGTGGACCAGATTAGATTACCATGCTGTGGTAGAGGCAACGTAAAACAACAACACAATCAGCAAAAAATTCACAAGACAAGACAAACTGATATACCGCAGTGACAAGCAGAGGGAGCATGTACACCTAACACATTTCTTCTATTCTCTAAATCATTGGTTCCCAGCCTGAAGTCCTGGCCCACCAGGGTGGGCACAAAAGATCTCAGGTGGGGTGCGAGGCTTTGTCTGCTCTGAGGTCGTCAAAGTTACATTTGCACATACCAACTGAAATTATGATAGGACCCTTACTGGATACAAAGTTTTTTTCAGAAGAACAAGTGTGTGTAGTTAATCTAATCAGTGTGAATTTTATCAATGAAAACTACTCAAATTGATGTTCATTTTCCGGGGTCCCGGCTTTTCTTAGATACAAATAGGTAGGGCTCCAAGTCAAAAAGGTTGGGAATCACTGAACTGCAAAAAGCCTGTAAAACATTTTGCTTTTGTAAATTAATTTGAGGAAAAATTATAATCTGGAGAGAGGTAGTTAGTTTAGCGCTCACACTCCAAAAAATGAACAGAGAACATTTTACTGTCTGAATGTGTTTATTACTTGTTAGCCACATCTTTACTTCTACAGCTGTCAGGCCATCATGACTGAATGGCAACACTTCAGACGACAATTATTAAACTTCAGTTTTACTATCAAAAATTCTAACTAACTTATATAGCGCTAAATGTATAACAATGTAAATCCTTGATTTCACTCAGAGGAAAAAAAAAGACAGTTTCTTATAGTGAAAGTTACCTTAGTGATCTTACAATTACCTCTACTGCTAATAGGATTTATTTACAGCTACATGAAAACATTTGCTGCTTCGGTTAAATTGCTGAATTTTGTTTTTCACAACTGACACCTTTCAAAAACGAATATTATAAATGTCATGTGAGTGTTTCTGTAAAAGCTGGTCCAACAAACTCTACATTTTATGTTGATATAGCTACAATCCGAGGTGTACAGTCCACATGATAATATGCTTGAGCTCCATACTCCCTTGTTAATATTATTCACATATGTCATAGATGAAAAGTATGTATTTATATTGCAGTTTAGTGAATTCCAGTATGATAAACAAGCAGAAAAAGTATTCTTATTGACAAATCAAATGCTACAACTCAAGGTTGGATAGATTTTTTTGTGTCACTGGTGTCCTCTTGTCTTTTCAGGAACTTCACACAGGTCTCATTGTGAATGTGATACTGTCTTCATTACTTAAATGACACAGAGTAGACTTCTGGTTGCCAATTGCCCTTAATGTGCAATTGTCTGAAACGTGAAACACTTGTCAACTGTTGTAACAAGGTATGGTGATTGGAGGTAATACACTTTTATTATGTTTTATCTCTTTAAGTATGACTCTGAAGCTCTCAAACTGGAGTTTCTAATTTTGTTGTTGTCACTTTATTCACTTTAAGTTGAAAAATCCCAAAGTTATACAGAGCGGCACTCTGATGAAATGATACCTGTGTCCCTGTACAGTATGACATAAAGGAGCCCTGTCAGAAACTGACCAATACTAATGCAATTTCCCCTCATGTCACTGAAGTCCAGAGCCAATCACATTCACTGCTCCAGACCACAGAATCCATTTGAGTACACTGACCTCGGTACAAGGACCAAGAACACATTACACTGCCACTGGGTAATCAGATTTGATTCTTGCTCATAATAGAGCAATTTCCCATTAAATGGTTTAGTGGATTTGCAAAGTCGGTAACATAATCCTTTAACTTATGGCACATACGTACTGTTTCCAGGAACAGTGTGTCATTTGGGGAAGATGAACATAAATTATAGAATATACATTGACAGAAGTTACCTTGAGCGAAATCAAACAGGAGGCTAAAATGTTGAATGTGTTTGTTGTTGTGTCATTCAATATTTTTAAATACTTTTTTCTACTTGGCTGTGCAAGAAGTGCAAACTATAACCACAATACTAAATCTATATATAGTTGCCTTAAAAAAGCAGGTGTGAGCAACTTGATGGCAAACAACAGCCCAGATTTAACAAATCCAGCAATTACTCTTAATATGGACTTGTGTCTAAGCTTATTATGTCATCATTATCTCTCCCTTTTGCTCCTTTTGGTGTAAAAGCGCTTTGAGCGGTCAGAAGACTAGAAAAGCGCTACAAGCTCAAATTCAATTCGGCTACCTTTTATCATAAGATAATTAATTTTAGATACTGGCCCTTAGAAAGAACACAGGTTGAAGGCACTACCACATTGGCTTCACTTTTCAGTCATTGAGCCTGCATCCAACTCTAATATACAGTCTATGGATTGATGAGGTTGCTTCTAGTTATGTGTAACAGCCTACTGGACATCTGGATATATTTGTCGGCACATGGAGTTGAAGATGTGCGCGCCTAGTAAGCAACAGTAAAAAAAAAAATTTAGAGCCAAGATAGAAATACCCTCAGCAAATATGAATTTCTTCGCTTAAGACATCTATGCTGTATAAATTCAACCAGCTGTCATTAGAAAGGTAAAGGTCTGGATTTTTTTGTATTACATTATCTTCTTTGTTTTTTAGGAAAATAAAAATAGCCCACATACAGCCGCTGAATTGGTTCTACATAAAACTCAGAAAACCAGGCCTTTAATGGATGATAGGAACATTAAATTATATATATTGTGATTCTAAATTTGTTCCAACAACAGCATAAAAGTGAAGGAACAGACTCACCATGGGTCTGCGGTTTTCCACCAGGTGTATGCCAACAATACCCAGAAACGCTCCAAAACTGAGCTGGAGGTATAAAGAGGTCAAAGTGGAAGACACAAGAAGAATCATTAGACGCAGGAAGGAAGGAGTCGGTAATAATGAACAAATAATCCAAGAAGTTTTTTCTTCAGGGGAGCAAATTGGCAGAGATTTGACTGTGACTCACAGTGATCCCGGGGTAATAACCAGCAACAGGCACATTGTCTGTGCGAGTTGCAGAGACCAGACCCACAGTCAGCACCACCAGAGACAGAGCCAGCAGGGATACGGTCATCCACAGAGCCGATTTCCTCCGACGCAGGTACCTATCTGAGGACAACCAAGAAAAAGAAGCAGGGTGACGTGAAGTCCATTTTTACATTCATTGCATTCATTACATCCTTTTTAATTAAGACGGCAAGCACAGTATTCCAGTATAATATTGTAAAACTGCTCTTTAACTATTCTTTGCACAAACATTTATGCTTCTATAATTGTCTACAAACTGCACTGAAGTATAGTAAAAAGAAAAGTCAGGAAAAGTAGTGTTCACTGTTTTTGTGTCCTCTATCATCATCACATCATAAACATAAAGGCAGCATTTCAAGTTGATGCTGGCTATAGTTTTATAAAGGATACATTTCTAATATGATAATCTAAAGAGTCCCCTTACTCTGGAGAGGCTTCATGTTCAAATATATAAGCCTAAATGCAAGTTTACAATGCATTGTATTTAAATCTACAGCAACGTGTTTCTAATGCAAAATAAACAAGTATCATAATAGATGTGCCCATAGGAGGGACATTGCCTTAATGTTGCCTACCTGCTGGATCCAGTATTTCAGTTGCTGTTTGCTGAGTTGCCTGCTGGGGTTCAGGCTGCTGCATTTTCACTCAATCCGGACAGATACTACGATACTGGAGATCAGGCAAACTCAAGCGACGCCGTTAAGTTTTGTAATGCAGCTGGTTTTTATCCCTGTTGATTCAAAACTGAGTTCATCCTCCGCCAAGAGTCCACCGACAACGAGCTTTAGTCAGATGTGTCTAATATATATATGATAAATAAGAGTTCGGTTTTTTGTTTCCACAGCAGCTGACTCTGAAAACAGACAGGTTCAACTTTTTTCAAAGCTCCTGTGAGACAGAAAGAGAGGGAGAGAGAGAGAGAGAGAGAGAGAGAGAGAGAGAGAGAGAGCCAACCAGCTCCCGTGTTCCCCCTCAGTGATAAATAATTACATTATTTATTTTATATAACTTTAATGATCTATTAATGCGGTCATTCTGGGCGTATGATTCATTAAAAAAAAAAATTCTTCCAGTAAGTGGTTTAAATAGATACTTAACACAATTATGAGTAAACTGAGTTTTTGAGGTTTTCATCATCTACATGCTGCATCCCTCTCTCGTCATGATGCTGTTCATCATGAGTTTACAGCACCCCCTACCGGCCAGCAAATGCATAATGGGCCATTTACTCATTTTGCTTTCTTTCAGTAAAAGATAACAGAATTTCATTTATATATATGAGATACGCAACGATAAAAAAAAAAAATAAAAAAAAACACCAAGTGTGTACTAAGGTTAATTGTGAAAAAATCTATTGGATTAAAAAAAACTGCAGCAGCTGGATACAAACTATTTACACAAGCAAAACATCTAAACATGTTGGACAAAAATGTGAAAATGTAGAAAAAGAACTTGATGAAATCATGTGTGCTCCAACATTCAACATGGCTTGCTGTTAAAGCTTTTGTTGGAAAGTTTAGAAATACTGAACTGTGAAACCTTGGCTAGCATTGTATTAAATAACAACACAAAACTTGCTAAATACTGCAAGTCTATTATTAGAGCTTCATTGAAAAATAAAAGCTTGATGTTATTATTAACATTATAAAAAATGTTCATTGGATTGCAAAAACAATACCAGCATGAACTGAAATATTTACACAAAGTTCAAAAACAGGCAGTTTTGATTTATTACGTATAGTTCATTGGCCTTCCATCATCTGAACAAGTAAATACTGTCATGCACTGCTGCCAGTCCCTCAGGACAGAGTGCAGGTAGAGGACTTGGCTTTCTGTTCCAGGATGGATTCACGCCGCAGGTCGTTGGGCAAAGTCCCACCGGGTCCCCAGATGTTGAGCTCACTGTAGATCCCCATCTCGATCATCTCCTCCTGCCAGGGGATGGAGATGTTCCCCGAGGCGAACTCGTTAAAAAACTTGCTGTCTTTGTCTTCAAGTTGCACACCTTTAACTGTGGAGAAGGCCCCCACATTGTCGATGTTCTTGGCATAAACTGTCTTGGAGTCTGGCACGAAAGGCGGAGTAAGGATCCCTGGAAGGAAGGTGCAGATTTTCAAAATGGTATGTTTAGATTTAAAGGATATGAGCCTCAGACAACTGAGCCTCCAGGATGTCCCCAAACAGCATCTCTTATCAGCATGGGAAATGTTTGTGTTTAAATCAAACTAAAACGTACTTCCTGGAGGTTTTAGAGGTGTTTCATCAGAATTTTTAAACAAAGAACACACCATAAGGCTTGTTTTCACTCCTCCAACTCTAATAAGATAATTAGACCATCATGAAACAGTTTCACAAAATATAAACATTTAGACATCAACAAAGTAAAAAAAAAAAAATTCAGCTTTGAACAGACCTGAACTTAGTTTCCTCCAGTTGATCTCGATGAAGAAGGGATGCTCTCTGAGCTCATCACATGATCCGTTCTTGAACCCGAGCCTCTTGTCCACGTCTTTAAACAGCAGACCCTCACAGATGGATCGAGCGCTTTCACTGAACTTCTCTGGAAAAAATACTGGATCATTCAGGGTCCTCTTTTTCACCACTTTGTTCTCCACCTTAGCACAGAGATCAGAAAGACATACAAGTCGCACTAGTCCAAAACCTGCACACTTTACATGAAGTACATTTACTGAATAACTGTAAGAACTTCTCAGAGGTACATATACTTTAAATAAGTGTTACAATTTTACCAGCTACACAATATGTTTACATTAATTAACCTTAAGCATTCCAAATAAAAGGACTCACCCCAATTTAACATTTGACACTTATTGTGTTAGTACATTTCATTTACATTTTTCTAAAGTCAAATCTTGTTCATGTAAAACATTTCAGTAAGTGCTGGGACATCTTAGGTAAACGACATGAGTACTTCTTTACTACTATTTTAAATGTGGGTCTCATATTTCACAGCAGTATCAGAAGAGGCCACAAGAGGGCAATCTTGAGTAGTAAAATCGAAATAAAAAAAACTGTTACAAGACTATCAAAAATATTTTGTACATGTTAATGTATCCCAAGTAAATGGAGCCTGAAAATAAGAAAAGGTCAAAGGTCAAAGGTATGTGTTTTACCTTCTCCCCTCTGGTCCTGAAGGGTCCCTTAGCAGCCATAAACTCATACAGAGTGACCCCAAGAGTGAAATAATCCACAGAGAAGTCGTACTCCTCTCCCCTTAGCAGCTCTGGAGCCATGAAACCTGCAAGTGACAGAAAACAGGTTCTGACCTTTCAGTTTAAGAATTGACATTTGGATGAGAAAAGAAAGTAGTAGGAATTTTAAAATGTTAGCAGCACTATTCTGAAATGACATAACTTTATTATATTAGTAATTCTGTAAAAAAAGATGGACCTCTTGAAGCCAAAATTCTGAAATCATGTCAAGCCACAGAGTGTTTTTGAATATAACAATAGGACTACAAAATAACAACACTATGTGAAATTGAAATAACTCTGTAGCTATCATTTGAGTTTTTAAAATGTTTTTTGTGCAAACATTACCCTGCATTTCAAACTGAAATGTTATGCTTTTTCTTACTCATATAAACGGACTGAAAGTGTCACAACTGGTGAATGATGTGTTGAACATATTAAACTTAGAGAAAGGAAGAATAACTAAATATTAAACTACACTTTAGTTAGTTATATGTGGCACTTGTGTACTAAAGCACAGGTTCATTTTACAAGTACTCATATTTAGTCCAAATTCCCTCATGCAAAGTGTTTGACTCTAGATGCTTACCAAACTCTGAAGAGTATCTTAATTTAGTTTTTTTAATCACATATTATCAACTCGTTTTTTTATTTGTATTTAAAAAAAACACATCTGTATATTTAATCTTCGAAACTTTTCATCCACAGATTTCTCAACTAACAATATGTTGTTTCTTTAAGTAAATTGGTGATAAAACAACAGACCAGATTATGTCAGTACTGTCTGTTAATGTTGGATTCTATCTTTGTAGTGGTTGTAGTGTTTCAGTGTAGTCCTTCAGGTTACACTCTTAGGATAAAGGTAACAGTAGCTTACTGTATTTGTACAATGCAGCATGTGTGAAGTAAATGTCATATAATAGTCAGATAATGACAAAGTCAAACACTGTGGTGCTGTGAGTTTTGAGGGTGTGGGTTCACAGATCCTGTTGTAAGAGAGAGTAAATGACCCAGGCTTGACTCTACCTGGAGTCCCGGCGTAGCCCTTTGTTTTCATCTGATCGTCAGCCAGCTCCACAGCCAGACCCAGGTCGGAGATACGCACGTTACCTGTGAGAACAAACAGCAGGGTGATGTCAGGAGCTGCGCTTGTCAGGGATACAAACAATGACTTGCAGATTGCGTCGATGATGTGTGGCAGAGGGAGACGTTCTCGAGTTAGAGGTAACACACACTGTAGATGTGGAACAAAGCAGGTGGTGTGTGTGTGTGTGTGTTTGTATGTTTAAGCTCAAGAGGGAAATAATCAGACACATTTTTAGAGTCAATAACAAAGTCTTTGGTTTGGCATCTGGCTTACTTAGGTTTAGACAACAACAGCACTCTCATGTGTTCTGTAAATATGAAACAGTGGACAGGGGACATTCAGCTGTTTAGAACAGTCTGTGATCAAGAAAAACAATAACTTCACCTGAACCTTATTTCTGCTCAGAAAAAACAATCACGACACAGCGAGCTAACCATTCCCTCACGAAAGAACTTCTTCTAGTGCCCTGTGTTTGTTTTGTACCTTGATTATCCAGCAGCACGTTCTCTGGTTTGAGGTCTCTGTAGATGATCCTCTTCTGGTGGAGGTGCTCCAGACCCTGGATGATCTGAGCGGCATAGAAGCAGGACCGGGGCTCATGAAATCCTGGATTGTCCTCGTCCACATTATAAATGTGATACCTGGTGGAAGAACAGTGAAGCAAGTCTGTTATCGACATTTATTATCTAAAGGTATATTTCTGTGTCTATATGTTACATTTTTCTCTCTGTCACACTGGGCTGGGAAACAAGCATTTAGTCTTTTTTATGTATGTAAATAAATGGAATCTTGAATATTAAAGACATTGTGGGTAATTCTAGTATGATCGCATCTGGCACCATAACTCACTGATCCTTTATTTAATGCTTCATACAGCGCTGTATTGTCATGAAATACATAATCTCAATAAGTCATGGTACTTTATATTTACTTGAGTAGGTCCATTATACAGTATCTTTTACTCCAACTTGTAGACAAATAGGTTACTGCAAAAATATCCACACCCTTCCTTTACATGAGGAATGAAAGGGAGAGATGAGGACTACTCTGATCAGGAATTTTAGAGAGTGAGATCTGACCTCAGGTCTCCTCCGTTCATAATGGTCATGACCAGACACAGCTCTGTTTTTGACTGGAAGGCGTAGGCCAAAGAGACAATGAACCTGCTGTGGACTCGAGCCAGGACCCTCTTCTCCACCATTGCCCCCTGAAGGAGACAGGATTATTCTTTAATGCAGGGCACTAATAAAAAGTGGATATGTTCAGTGATATTTTTAAAAGCATTAAGGCCCCCTTCATAGTAAAGTCATGACATCCTCCGAGGTAGTTTTGCCGCTCTTTCTGTTTGTCACTGGGATAACATAAACACTACTTGCCCAATTTTGTTTGCAAATTTGTAGAAGGGTTCAGAATGGGCCAAAGACAAACCCATTGCATTGTGCAGACAATGCTGGTTAGACCCCCAAAGGACAGCTGTTGATGTTGTTGTTGATGACAATATATTAACTGCTCTGCCTGTCAACACCTGTCGATTGGACTTAAAGCTGTTTGTTTGCACTAACTGACTTTGTTTCCTCCTTTCTAGACTTCTTCTTGTGTTGTACTTACTCTCTGATGTTTGTCACATTTGATAAAAGGATCTGCTAAATGAAATGTAGGATTGTAGAATCGGGAGCCAGGTTAAAAACATATTTAATAATAACTGATCTGCCTCACGGACAAGCCATATCATTGAGCGAATTTGCAAAACTTGCTGTCTAGGCTTCGGTGTCTTTCTAGTTGATTGTGAGAAATAAGCAGAAGATTAGGAAATCCCCTCTATAGCAGCTGTATTCATAAACATGGTAAGATGTGCACTATATAAAGAGATCATAATGTTGTAATGAGGGCACCTATCATATAAGTCAAACGGAAAATTGTCTGCAAAGCTTTGTCTAGACTCTGACTGTAGTTCAGAATAAAGGAATAATGATTGGATTCCTCACCTCGTAGCCTTTCCTCTTCTTCAGCCTCTTCTTGTTGAGCTTTTTGCAGGCGTATAGTTTCCCAGTGGCCTTCATTTGACAGGCCGAAACTTCCCCAAAACCGCCTTTCCCCAGTACACGAAATTCCATAAACCAGTCCTCTCCTATGGGCTGCATCTCCAGCCACTTCCACTGCAGAAACCTTTTCAGATACATACTCTCCAGGAAGAAAGTGAAGGGCACTTCCTGCAGAAAGTCCATAACACTGTCCATGGTCTCACAGAAAAGGTGGTCCCCAGCTTCTTGGTACTTCTCTTTGACCTTTGTGACGCTGTTTTCAGGCAGAAAGCAACAGAAATACTTTGCCCCAGGCTCCATGTACCTGGACAAGATCTTGCTGGCTCTTTTGACTCGATCCTCGTCCTCAGCCGTGGTGTATTCCTCAATATCCTTCCACAGGCGGCAGGTGCCTTTATACTCATTGTTGGAGTCCAGAAACTCCTGGAAGAGACGTTTTCCAATTGGCTGCTTCACGCAGACCGCCCTGAAGCCGAGGTCTAAAGTCTCCATCAGGCCTTCGCACGCTGTGATGTGAGGAAGCTTCAGGAGGGAGTGGTACTTCTTGTCTCGGTTGGCTGCAGGGTTGGCAGTGCCATCAAAGCTCCCACGGGCCGAGATGTAGGTAGAGTTGGCTACCACTGTTGTGAGGCCACCAATATCCATGAAGAGACAATCGATAAGTGAGGAGGAAGGGAGGGAGAAATAGGTAGAAAAAGAAGGATATACAGGGAAGTAAATGCCTGAAATGTGTGCAGAGAAGACCAGATTGCGAAAGGAAAGTTGCAAAGAAGTAGATTCTAGGTGATGAGAATTTCTTCCTCCTCTGGTTCTTCAGTAGCAAAGTTATTAAAATATCTGACCGACAATGACAGTGTTTCCATCGATCACCTTAGAGTCCCATCTCTCCTTCTCATAGTCTACCTGACTCATCACCTTTCCTCAAAGGGATTTGTCCAGTATGTAGGCTAACTCTGTAATGCTTTATCCTATGCTGACCCGCAGCAGTAAAAGAGAAGGGAGTCCACAGGGTGAAGCAAAGACTCTGGAAAAGTGTATGCATGCAGCAGGCTGGTAGTGACAGGAATGCAGGGAAGCAGAGTGATCTACTGTCACAGAGAGAAACGAGAGATTGAAGTTTGCACAGTGAAAAAAAAACATATCTGCAGATTTGTTTCTCTTCAGGCCGAGAAATAAACACAAATTCAGGCTAAAAAAACAACAATCATTCCAACAACATAGATGGATATAGATAAATTGGGTTTCTTAAAGAGAACCGCTCTGGTAGTCTTGTCATAAGGTAACATTTTACTGCGTTTAAATACTCGTTATAAATCTGAAGTCTCCATGTCACAAGGTTATTCTCTTGGACTTTTCTCAACACAGAACAACAGTTTTCACAGGCTGAGTGATAGTCTGGGCGAGGAAACTTTTCAACCACTGTGGCCAACATTGAGTCCTTAACTTTATTGCAACCAAGTTGGCTTAGCTTAGCACGATGAAAGAAGTTCAAACAACTTGTGCTGCTCCATCCAAAGGTACAACAGTCTGTTTTAATACACCTCTTAAACTTACTCATTAAATTTATTATGCAATAAAAACTTGAACAAAAGACTTTTGCAGTGACTTTCATCAGTCTCCCCTGCCTTTCTCTGATTATACGACACATTACTTCCTATAGAACTACAAGTTGTTGCTTTATTTTTGTAGTTTTATAACACAAAAGACGAAGTGTAAGTTTGTGAAATTTAAAGATGCTAGCAGGAGAATGTTGTATTTGAAGGAGCCAGGTTAGCGGTTTCCCTGTTGAAAGTCTTGGTGGGTCATTATTGTGTCTGAGGACGACCAGAAACTGTGTGACTTAGCATTATTTGTTTTTTGTTTGTAAGTCTTATCAACATGTCCTAGGAAAATATATGTATATAAAAAAACAATCAACATATAATACATTGTGGTAACTTTCAACTCACCTGTAGGGATCAATGAGCAGCTATTTGTCTGTAGATCATCAGTGAACATATTTTAAACCACCATATTTATATCAACTCTCATAGAGTTTATCTTGTAAATAAACATCATTTGTAAAAGTTTGCTGATGTGATTATGTCATTAGATTTATAGGCTTAATTATGACTTTAATTAATATCTAGAAAATGTATTTCAGACATATACATCATTTGAAGAAAAAACTAATTCTTATTTATCTTTGGTCTCAACTCTTGTGGATGTTTTCATCTTAAGGTTGTGCTATAATCCATTTATAATAACAGCCACAAAATCAACTGTAAAGCATCTTTAAAAGCAGTAAACTGCTAACATATATATGAAGGTACAGTCTATAGGATGCGTACCTGCCTGGTTATTGTCTACCAAACACTAATAGGATGAAGTCTCTGACAAATGTGCTGACAGCAGAGGTTGTGTGTTATCAGCTTACACGGTCCAGGTGAACTCAGAAGCATACTCACACACAGACATGTGTCCGCCTCACCTGAAGTCTGTATAAAAAAAAAAAAGACGATTGTGCTGAAAATAAAAGCTTTTACGTATGTTTATCACTTTGATTCCCTTCAACGGACCTGTCCATTCATCAGCCTGTCTTTGTTTCAAGATGAATGTGAATCCTGACAAACCTTCACGATACCATTGATCAAAAGGTCAGATGTCTTTAGTGGCAGTGTCAAGAAGTGGTCACTATATGATTTTATTCAAATTTAAATTTTGACAACTTTTTTGGTTCGTTAAATCCTGAATACCTCACCCACTCGGAGCTTTTAAACCCTTAGGGAACCTTTGTTTGAAAGTCCTTCTTTAGTTGTCCATGATTTAAGTGGAGTTAAGAGGGAGGGCCGGGCACATGTGAAGGAAAGGCTGGAGAAAACTGATAAAAAGTTTAAGCTGACAGAGGGAAGCCAAGAAACTGTCAGTGAGAGTTCAGTGATATTCATGATACACGGACGGGACAGAAGCCTAGCTCAATGAAAAGTATAAATTGGGTTTCTTGAGGCTATGAGAGGTGTGCAATAGCTTCATGTTGCAATACTGTATTATCAGTGTGTGCCACTTTGTTGACATGTTGTTTCTTTTGTTAATTGATTTTGTTGTTAATTAAATCTACTTTGAAAACAGATAAACTTGAATGTGTGCAGCGTTCAAGTAAAGGGAACAACTGTCCATATGTAAGAGGAAATAAGGTTTTCATAAGTAGTATCAGATTGTTACTACGATTTTACCGTTTAGTTTACTTCAATTAATCCATTTTTTTTAATGACCAAACAAATGGTCTTTTAAGAACTGAGGAAAACCAGGAAGACTTGAATGTGTCAGTGTATTTTTAATAAGTACATTTCAAAAAACAAATGAACATTGTGATGGAAACAGTGTTTCTTTGTGCATGGAGGCCTCAGTCATGGCCACCAACAGGAAGTATGTAAACTCATCCACTACAGAAAGTAAATAAAAAATATCCCTCAGTGTTGACAAACTGCAGGAAAAATATGAAGTATGAAAAAATTAAACAAATGTAGCTACATACATACATAGCACATTATGAAAGAAAAGACAAAGACATGAGAAGCTCTCTCACACTCCTCAGAGTCTTGCTTTAGTGCAGAGCAGGCACTTCAGTTTAACATTCAATGGTAGGTAGTGCATGAATTTCAGTAAAAGTGTGATTTGGGGCGCAGATGACCTGGTGGTCCCGCCCATCACCCACCTGTTACTGCAGGGGGCTTTGGAAGCCCATTGATGGCGGTCACCATGCTGGAAATCCTGCCTCACCCTAACTTTCAGTCAGTTTAACAGCAGGCTAAGAGCTGGAGCGGAGGCGGGTCTTAAACTTCCTGACCAACACCTACACCACGCCTGCCTGTCAATCATGTCAGCTGCACGCCTCATTGTGAATAACGCTTATCCTTCATTAAATCAAAACAGAAGATTTATCAAAAATGTTCCCCCTGTACAGTGTGTGACGGTCGTGACTAATCAGACCAATTTGGTTTTTTGAACCACGCTGTAAACATGTTCATTTCTGCTGTAAAAAACGGCTTTTTTGTAGCCAGTGAACTGCAGAATTTTACACTTCATTTTTCAACACCAGACATTGCCGCTCGAACACGCCCTAATGTACGAAGGCTGTAGTCTTTCAAGCGGGAGGCCCGGGTTCAAGTCCGACCTTTGGCTCCTTTCCCCGCTCTCTCCCGATGTCCCACTCTATCCTCTCTCCTATCAAATAAAGACTAAAACCCCCCCCTCCCAAAAAAATGTTAAATATTTCAGTTTCTTCATTTTCTACATTATACTAATGTGTGCAACACTAGAGATGATCTAAAACTCTTACAAGAATGGAGAGCACTTAAAGACATCTCATTCAAGTCTCTATACAAGGAACTATTGTAGTATTTAGTGTAAGTGTAATCACAGCTAAATTCATAGTAGACTACTATTACAATAAGCTTCAAGATACCAGCTTCCATATACAGCACAAAATCTGTAGTCAGAGAAACATGACATAATGTGATGAAATATTTGAGACATGAAGACAATCTAAATCAAACAGAGATGTTCCTCGTTAACAAAATCCACACATTTTCTCAAAAATGAGAAAGACACAAAGTAACAAGTTGACTCACATCTTGGTCTCTGTGATTCTTAACAGAAAGAAAAACCTGGGGTTCAAAGTGCAGGCACACTTAATGGAAAACAAAAAATTCAGAGAGATAGTTTTTTCATGGTGCATGAAATAGTGCATTCAAAGCATAAACAAATGGAATGATTTTGAGTCCTTGTGCTATTCTATGTAGCTGTCAAACCGTGGTGTTTCTATCAAGGACTCGATCTAGCCTTTAAGACGGTTTGAGTTTCGCCAACAGAGAGAAGGGTTTCAGTTTCCTTTAACATATAACACCTCATAAAGTAGTGTGTACTGGTACAAGCAAATACATACTAGAAAGGAGTCTTTTTTTTTTAGAAGTGTTCAAATGGGAACTGTTTACCCAGAGCCGGTCATGCTCTTGTCATGTGACCATTTTGCGTTCAGCCCGGGGAACGAATCTCTGCGTGGTGACTCTCCACAGCACTGGGCCAGCAGCAAACTGAGTGTGGTGACACTGAGAACCAGCAGGTACACCTGAGGTCAGAGAGAGTGACAGATAAAAAAAAAAACAAATCTGACAAAAAGTCATTTCTAGTTGTAATTATTTTATCAATTTCTTTGGGTTATGTTTGCATGTCTTTGACAAAAGCCCACTTCAAATGTGTATAATTATAATCAACTGACTGAAGAATAACTGACAGATTCATAAAAAAAAAGTGAGTCAGAATAGGCAGTAAGTTAAAAAAAATACAACACTTCTACATCACTACATCACTGACCTCTCTAGATATGATGCCAGCCCGACGCGCTCGGCTACCCAGGACGAAGGAGAACTCGCTGACCTGAGCCAGACCAGCTGAGACCACCCAGCGTATGTGTTGAGAGCCTGGAGGCAGGATCACTGACAGCACCAGTACTGCCATCACGAACTAGGAGGAACAGAGGAGACAGAAGGAGAGACTGAGAAAGTGGTAATTACAGGAGAGCTGGAGAAGGAAAATGATCGCTGAGAGTTGAGTGCTGTACCTTCATAATGACAAGTGTGAGTGTCAGAACCAGCAGGATGGTGAGCTCGTACAGCACAAATGTTGGGAAAACGTGAAGACCTGCAGCATCGGAGAAACAAACACAAGATCAGTAAAGTTTGACTGCTGATTGTAAAAAAAAAAAAAAAAGTACATCATGATTATAATAAGCTAAAATCTTTTTGGAATTGTTACATTGGAACTGACCAATAGAGGCAAAGAAGATGATAGCGAGGAAATCTCTGATTGGCTCAATGCATCCCATGACCTCAGTAGTGACCATGTGACCCTGTGTGGACAGCAAAGCTCCAGCCAGGAAACAGCCCAGCTCCATCGACACATCGAGAAAATCTGTCACCTGTAGAATCAGTCAGAATAAGAAAATATGAACACGAACAGCCTCCTCAAAAACTGATTTATAAAAGCCCAAACGGTTAACTTGCGTACCGTCAGCATGAAAAAGACAAACGCTGCCATGCCCAGCACCAGGATCTCCTTGTTGCCTTTGCTCTCAGCATGCAGCTTCTTGTAGTACGGGCCAATCAGGGCGGACTTGAATAAAAGACAGAGGAGCAGCACAACAGCCAGAGAGCCCAGTACCTGAGCCAGCAGGTACAACACACGGAGACTGCCAAAAAGGAAGCTGTTTTTCATAAAGAGGAACAGAAGATTTAAACAAGCTCTGTGTGTTTCAGTGTTTGAGTGGATATAAGAAAAAAAAAAAGAGATAATTCACCTGTCCAAGTCGCCACTCTGAGCCTGGATCAAAGTTGGCATGACGGCGATGAAGAGACCGAGTTGAACATCTTGCATCACTAACATCCCGAGGAGTACGCTGCTGTAGTCCAGATCACCTGTTTCAAAGACGCGTACACAAAGACACACAATCGCACATATTATTATTAACCCTCGAGTCTTAACAGATTAACCTGAGGAAATAACTGAAAAAGACAGTGTGGAAATTACAACAACAAACAAACACGCAAAAGGTTCAATGCAAGGTCTACTTTGTGGTGTAGACCTTGAAGATAAAAAGCCTTGAACAACTAGATTTCGTTATTTTTTGGGGAGTGTATGGGTAAAGTAGCACATCTGGGACAAAACTTCAATATCAACAAAATCACTAAAACTGGCAAATTCTTTGAATTGCCCCCGGGTACAAATAAAGTTTTTGGAATTGAATTGAATTGAAAATAAATGCTTTAAGTACTAAAATACCACACATCATCTTTTTAGAATCCATGTTTTTCCACATCATAACCTAACACTTGTGAACATGTTGAATTGAAAAAACCCTGGCAACCTGATGTCGATGCAACAATGCAAATAAAACAGAATAAGTCTTGACCTGAAGTTAAACTTGTTATATTTAAAAACTATCATGCAAAAATACATTAAAACACTGTAAATGTGTTAATTCATGTAAACAGACATTCTCCCCCCCCCATACCTTCTTTGTCCCCTCGGCTCCCCGCAAGGAAGCGGGACACTAGCGGAGTGCTTGACAGGGAGAGACAAGTGGAAATGAAGACAGTCTGGGTGGGTCTAATACGCAGGACTTGTCCCCACACCAAACCGGCCCCGACCATCAGTAAACTCAGGTAACACGAGCCCTGAACGGACGTCTTCCATACCTACACACAGACACATTCACACACTGCATAAATGAACTGTTAAAGCCCTCAAGGAAGTAAGTAACCAACTATCTTTACAACTTTATATTCACTTAAAACGGCTTCATTACCTTAAGGACCATAAATCTTAATTTATAAAACTGTATTTAAGTAATCATTATTCCCTAATGACCTGATTGAGTGTCAGTCAGGTCAGGTCATTAATCAGGTCCTTTACATGCTTGTTCAAACAGTATTTTGTTGTACTTGTATAGTGACAATAAAGATATCTTATCTCGTCTAATAAAAACCATGACAATAGTGCAAGTCGCCTTTTTGTTGTGTAAAAAAATGTCTTACTGAATTTTTTATTTTTTTAATTGTATTTGCAATCACACATATTCACAGACATTTGTACATACTGTTCATTTGTGGTTAGACAACAGAGTGACTCCTCTTTTGTCGCCCCTCTTGCTTACCTTTCGAACGCGCTCAGGTGAGAACTCCAATCCTACGACAAAGAGTGTGAAGAACACACCCAGCTCCCCCAGAGTCTCCACCTGGACCATCGACTGTAGGACACAGAGACAGACTCTGACCATAAACACACTATGACATACACAGTAAGACTAGTTAATGTTCTTTAAATCTACAGAAACACACAGACACACACACCTTGATGCTGTTCAGGCAAGAGGGACCGAGGAGCACCCCACAGACGATGTATCCAAACATGGGAGGAAGACCGACTAGTGAACAAATCCAGCCACAGGGCAGGGACAACATCACCACCGACACCAAGTCCTGCAGCAGACGGTGTAAAGAACTAAATTATTGTTTCAAATATTTCAAACGTGGAAGCCTTAGCGTGGGTCCTGAGTGTGAGGAATACACTGACCTTGATGAAGTGGTGGTCTGCTCTTGGCATGGTGGAGTCTCGGGGTTTGGTCAGCACGTACTGGTTGTTCTGCGAGTCAATGAGCATGCTTAGTCCGAGGTCATCCTCCACTTCCTTCTGCTGGGACTTGTTCTTCCTCTTCCCACTCTTCTCCTCATCCTCCACTCTCAACACCGCCTCAACATTTACACCTCTCATCTACACAACAGAGGGAACTGAAATGAGGCGCAGGTGTAACCTCGAAGGTATATACGTTATTAGCCTAGCACATGCCCTGCTGGCTGACCTGTTTGTTGTTGTCAAAGGCGTGCTCCTCGATCTCCTCTTCGAGCCGGTCTGCGGCCTTCCTGACGTCCTCTAGGATCTCATCCAGCATGGATAAAGTCTTATTCTGGGCTAAAGCGCTCTTCACAGCTTCCTGCTGATGCTTCTCTGCAGCCACCAGCTCCACATACTCCTGCTCCTCCTGAACGGGGGAGAGTCAAAGTCAAACGACAGAAGTACACTTATAGGGGTCAGTGACTTATTGCACTTTGTTTTAGTGAAGTACAGTACTAATTTCACTCTGTCAAAATGATAACATGTGATGAAGTAATCATTCCAACCATCGATCTATAGATTATAAACAAACATTTTGATTATCAATGAGGGCATGACAGAATCACAAATATATTCTGTTTCCACACTGACAGAATACATCGTGAATTCACCTCTCTCTCTCTCTCTCTCTCTCCTGACTCTCTGAAGTAGGCACACCATGAAACCCTGCTGACCACCATGCCCCTCACCTTTATGGCCGCCTCCCTGAGGGCCTCCAGCCGCTGTCTGCTACTCTCCTTCATGTTGACTACATCCTTGTAGTCTCCCTGCAGCGCCCTCTGCAGGCTCTGCACCGCCTGAAACACCAGGTTCCCAGTCTCATTCAGCTCCTTCTGGAAGACCTCCAGAGTGTGAACCTGAATGCCGACAGGGAGACACCACTCGGTCATTAACGCATTATATATCTGGCGTCCTGTTTTTAATGGAAGCCTGGTTATTTGTTTTGAAGAGAGCAGCTGCTATGTTTTCAATCAGAGAAAATATCAAAAATAGAATTTGTTCTGATAACGCTGATTAATTACTTTAAAGAAAATAATCCAATCATGTGTTTGGCCATTTCCTATCTGGAGTTCAAACAATGAGTCAATTAATGAGTTATTAATTTAGTTATATAAATGAGCTAAACTTTGATAAGCTACATTGGTCATTGAAAGTCTTAAATCTCTTTTGACATTTTTTAAAACATCATCATTCACTGAAATACATGATGAAAATAACTGTTGGTTACAGCAATAATTAAACCAGGGCATCTTCTCTCTATAAGTGAAACCTGAGTATGACAGATGAACACGTGTCACTGTGGAACCATTTTGCGTAGAGACAAAGACTTAAAGAAACACCGCTGAAAAGCTGCAGGTGTTACGTCTCACACACCTTGTGCTGCCATCAGAGTCTAAACTAGGCTTCAAAATCATTCAATAATAAGACAGCTCAATCTTTTTTTTCTCAGTTTGGTACCTGGAAGTGCCTCTCGGGTTCTGAAAGGGACTGGTCTTTTCCAACAGCAGCAGCCGCGGCCGCCAGCTTCTTGACCACCACATTTTTCTGACGCAGGAGGCCCGCCAGCTGTTTACAGTTGCCTGCCACCCAGCTGTAGCCTTGTGGGGCCCCTTTGCCTCGATAAAGCTTGATGGCTTGCTGGGCCACCTGTTTTTTTGGTAGCACAACTAGTGCCCCGGCTGTGCTGAGGCACAGCAGCCAACACACGACCTGCATCCAAACCTCGACGGTCTGTCTTCACCCAAGGGTGGAGAATGATGAAGAGAAATGAGCCTGGTAACAGAGAGAGAGAGAGAGAGATAGAGAGAGAGAGAGAGCCAGAGGGTGAGGCAGAAAAATCAAGGAGATGAATACTCTGATAGGTATGAGTTTAAAGTTGTAAATGTCAAGAGAATTAAATTAATGTAAGATAATATGTGGTGTTTTTTTCTTACTGTCAACAAAACCCATAACAAAAAAACTAATTTGTTTCTTTATTAGTGGTGCATGTGCATGGACTTAACATATGTTGCCTTTCTAGCCATAAAAGCCTTCAAATTGTAGCCCAGGTTTGGACTGATACAAACTGTATTTTCCTGCTATGCACTCTAGATAGACATTTTGCTGTGAGAGCAACAAAACAAACTTTGAGTTCAATAGATGAACCCAGGAGCTTCATAAAGAAAATAATGCCACGCTGTAGATTTGATACCTGTGCTTGAACAGCTGACTTTATTGGTGATTTTATTCAGATTTTCGCATATCATGTATGTATTTAGCATTTTTAGACATTCTGAATTGGTATGTTTGCAACCTTGCTAGATTACTCACTGCAAAAAAAAACCCTACATTTTGATCGTAATGGGACTTCCTGGAAAAGTCAAATTAAAATATAATAAATAAAACCTCACTAGCTCTTTGGAATCAGAATAGAAAATTCAATTCTACAATTCACTTAGCAGACGCTTTTATCCAAAGCGACGTACATCAGAGAGTAAGTACAACACAAGCAAGGATAGAAAAAAAAGGGGGAACAATGTCAGTAAGAGCAAACGATCAGCTTTAAGTCCGATTGGACACACAGGTGCTGACAGGAAGTGACCAGAGGCAAAGCGCAACATTGAGGGCAGTTCTTGAGAGCTCTAATCAGTATAGAAACCATCTTATAAGTCGTCGTTATCAAACAAAAACCATCGTCACAACCATCATCATCATCAGTAATATCGAGACCATCATCATTAAGTTAGTAGGTGTTCATGAAAGAGCTGGGTCTTTAACTTTTTTAGGTGCAGAGGGACTCTGCAGATCGAAATAGTCGCTAACAAGTTCACTGTTATTTTCTTTTGGAGAACATTTTTACTATTTTACTAAATACAACAGTTTCCATGTGTTTCAGGAACGATTATAACATTTTTGCCTGATTTAAGTATTAGTTGTGACCAATTTCAAAGTTCTACTTCTTCAGTATGCTGGGGAATTGGTAAAGCACTGAAAGATAAACCAACATGCTTATTTTGGTCTTTTAATGGAATTTATTGATTATACCACAATTATAGAACACAACAACCCTCATTCATGCCGTTTACAGCACAGACAGTAGCATTTGTCCTCAAATTTGATATACAGTAGATTATCCCCTGTTATGTTCAAACTCTGCTTTTGTGCTCCTTAGTGTGATCTCAAGAGATGGTTTAATCTCTAGGTCACAGATAAAAGCTGAAGCAACAGCTGTGTGTACACACCTGTGGCCTCTCTCACTGGTTGCTTTGGGCTGTTAATAACACATTGCTGTGCAGGGTTTAGTGCAGATGACTTGTATGAGCACGTCACATGAATACAATCCAGCAGCACTTGCTATTCTGCCTAAACCTGATGTCACGCTTTGTGTCTATCAAAAATTGAAGTACAAAAGAGCTGTGATAATTTAAGAAACTGACATATTCACTCTCTCCACCCTCACATAATGGAAATTGCCCGCAGCATTAATACTTTACAACATCAACACTGCGACAGAGTGAATTTGACTCACACCCAAGCTGGGCCGCACCTTTATGAGCATTTACTTTTCGAGCTCCTCCTCTGTCCTTCCTACAACTGGGCTGTAGCCATTAGCAACTGTTGATAGAGATCAAAAGAACAAAAGCATGCATGATTTATTTAGTGTACAATAGTGGGTTAAATTCACGAGACGATCACTGTATGTTACTCTGAAAAGTTACGCTGTAAAGGTGTAAAAAGAAAGTACAAAGTTTCTTCCTCATACAAGGCTGCAACTTAAATACTGCCTTTTACTCCTTTAACTTACATTGTCAGGTCTTTTTAAGGACAGAAACTTGTGGGAAATGTCTACTGGTATTTCCAAAAGGCCAACATGATGCCTCATACTACTTAATTTCTGTGTTTTTTTTTGTTGTTGTTGTTGTAGAGAAATGAATTTGACTGGAAACTGGATTAACTGGAATAGTATTACTGAAAACAGTTCATTGATAATTAGTAAAAGATGTATTGATTATTCTTGGTTTAGAATATTCCAACTATTACATTAATTGCCAATTATTCTTAAAGTTTTGTAAAATATCAGTGTCAGGGTTATTAACTTTCCACCATTGATGCACTTTACTTTTGACAGGCTGGCAACATTTGCATACCCAATACCGAGTGGTTATTCTACAATTTTACAAAGTGAAAAAAAAAAAAAAAAAAAAAAAACATGTGTAGGCTACACTGAAAAAAACATGATTCCTGCAAGGATTCATAAAAAAAAAAAAAATCACACACAACGCTGAAAACACACCACCCACGAAAATGAATGACGTTCAGACAAACCAGGAGACAGCACAGGCAATGAAAGCATGAACTCCAAACACTTATCAACTCAACACGCCTCACCGAACACACGAATAGAAACAGAAATAACCATTAAAAGTAAGGAAAGCGATACCTGCGAAATATTTGTTTGCACAGTGCTGGCTCTCCACCCAACTCCACGACTGAAGGAGAAGCTGAAGAAGAAGAAGAAGAAGAAGGGGAACAATCACGCTGTTGTACCGCACCGACACCCCTCCTCCTCCCCCTGCCACATAGCAGCTGAAGCCAGCGTCCATGCAGGCGGACAGGCGTTCACCTCTTTACTCCACCAGCTCCATGTTTACCTCGACCTGCTCCACCCGCAGCTGAAGGACTGTCGCGAGGGCTTAAGGGGATGTGCACGCAACTTCGCCCAGGTAGGTACGTCGCTGTTAAATTCAACAAATCAAAGAAGGATTAGTTAAAAGTGTGTATAAAGTTCAACCTGTTTTCTATTCTTGAGCAGCAAGTTGAGCTTAGTTAGCTCTCAAAACTCCTCGGAGCTGTCAGACAGGCAGCTGAGTCAACACACGAGCTAACACGGCTAAGTAGCTGTCATTTAAGTTTATATTAAATGTTTTTTCTGGGGGGGTGGGAGAGAGAAAAGGGTCATCACGACATAATGAAAAGTTGGAATATAACGTTGACTAACCAAACAACTAGCGCATTGTTTTCTGAGCGCTGTCACGCTGATATAACTTTGATCCACTTGAAGATTACTTCCGAAACATCTTTATCAGCTTTGATATGGGAGTTGTAGTTTTCACATGTTTTTTTTTTTTTGCCCTCAAATTGCTATAACTGGTCAAACTATTTGAACGTATCATATCAAATGGCTGTCATGACACACTAAACAACAACAACAACAACGCCTGTTCAATAAGTTAAAAACTCAGTTCTGTCGGCTCTCTTACTCTAAAACGTCTATTTACATTAGACAGATTAGTTACAACGTTACGACTTCGAGTTTTCATGCAAATATGTTTCATTACAAGCACTTAGAGAACAATAATATTTTGTTTTTATCCCTTAAAAGGTGTCAGTTGTACAGACAGCTGTTACATTTCGGGTGTTCATAACACCGTGGCCTGTTTGGGTTACAGTCCCGCAGAACTACATTTCCCATGAATCAATCGCCCTTCGGTAGCGCAGTTTGTTTCGCGCATGCGCACGAGGGGTAATTGGATATCAAGTGGGCCAAAACAGCGTGTGATAAAATGGTAGGTAAGATTAAATATGAGAAACTGGAGAGAATCTTTAGCTCCTTGAAGCAAGTGCAGAAACCGAGAACGGCGGTCATTGATGTAAAGGGATCACTCAGATATTTGGGATCGGGCTCGTCCTTAACCAAGTGTCGCATTGTCAGGGTGATATGAGTCGCGAATATGAGGGAAATGGAAGGTCAGTTGTTGGTATTTTGAGATCGGACACCCGCACTTCTCGCTGCACGTACCTTTCCCTTTTTGGTAACTCGTCTGTGCTCCCGTTGCTGCCGCTGCCCCGGGTCAGGAGAGAGAGCCTGCAGGATCACACGTCCCCTCCCCAGAAAAAAAAAAAAACTGGGTCGCAAAACACTGGCCTGTCACGGCGAATTTGCTGTGTGATCATCGGGTGGGTCAGGTCCGCAGTTTTTTTTTTTTGTTGTTTTTTTTGTTTTGCAAAAGACGTGCCTCCCAAATGAGCGTGTAGATGAAATTCACTCCGGGAGGTATTTTTTTTTTTTTTTTTTTTTTAACACAATAACGGAACCTTGCGACCATGCATGTAAGAGTGACAGGGTTTATACAACATATTATTGGTGCATGCATGGTGTGAGTCTTACTTTTTTTCTTATCTGTGTGCCACATCTTACAATGTGTCCATAAGTAAACGCACACCCAACTATTTTTGCATTCATGTAAAGTACAAAAATGTAAATCAGATCTCTAATTCAAATGTTTCGCAAAGTTTAGACTGGTTTGTGTGTTGTATGTGTGAATGTTGATGTCTAAGCCCATGGCGGATTTTCTTTCTGTGCACACTGGAAACTTGCCCCAGGTATCTAGAGCTCCAAGTGTACATGAGGCCCTGTGTGCATCTCTACAGCACAACAAAACTGAACTAATAAAGACTTCTGTGTTTAATTATAATCTGGAAGGCCTGTCTAAAGTTGGCCATTAATAAATGTAATGTGTCACCTGATGATATGCCTAAGTTGTGCATATTCTTTTTCAGATAATTATAGTATACACACTAATCACATATATTAGAGGCTATCTTATTAGGAAAGATTGAAATACCAATGTTTGTTTAAATGGGTTGGGGGGGGATTTAATTCCATCCTTGGATTTACCTGTGCGCCCGCTTGTCTCACAGCACAAGTTGAAGTCATCGCAGAAGGACAAGGTTCGGCAGTTCATGTCCTTCACGCAGGCTGGGGAGAGGACAGCCGTGTACTGCCTGACGCAGAATGACTGGAAACTAGAATTTGCCACGGACAACTACTTCCAGAATCCAGACCTCTACTACAAAGAATCCATGAAAACCTCAGTGGATCGCAAGAAGCTGGAACAGCTCTACAACAGATACAAAGGCAAGCGTCAGTTTAGTTTCATGTTAAAGGCTGCTCAGTCTGCCTGTCCTGTCTGACGGCCCTGCTCACTTTTCTCTACTGTGTTTGCAGACCCCCAGGATGAGAATAAAATAGGCATTGATGGGATCCAGCAGTTCTGCGATGACCTGACCCTGGACCCAGCTAGCATGAGCATACTTGTGGTGGCATGGAAGTTCAGAGCGGCCACGCAGTGCGAGTTCAGCAAGAAAGAGTTTGTGGACGGCATGGCTGAGCTTGGGTGAGCATTACTGGGACTGAAACATGCTGCTGTTACATGGATTGGTTTATTAAGGTTGACTGCAAATAAATAGAGGTTGCATGTATAAAAATTGATCTAACTGTATTTTGTGTAAAACATGAATTTAACAAGCGAGTTTGTGTCTTCACATTGTTTCAGCTTGTGTATGCTGTCACTGCCACTTGTGATAACAGGAATTTTAGAGGTCTGATCATTTTTCTCTCTCTGTTATTTTACCTCTAGCTGTGACAGTCCAGAAAAACTTAAGTCAATGCTCCCCAGACTGGAGCAGGAGCTGAAAGACACGGGGAAGTTCAAAGACTTTTACCAATTTACCTTCAATTTTGCCAAGAACCCCGGCCAGAAAGGTTTAGGTAAGTATGAGAATATATATAGAAAAGGGGAACTGGTCCCATGTTTCAAAAAATACCCTGAGGTTTAACAGTTTTTTTTTGTAAGATCTGGTTTTGATTCATTTAAAATGATATCTTACTTATTTTATTTCCTAGACCTAGAGATGGCCGTCGCTTACTGGAATCTAGTTCTCACAGATCGCTTCAAGTTCTTGGATCTCTGGAACCGCTTCCTGCTGGTGAGAGAGGATGCATTTAGTGTTCTGTGTCATCCATATATTTTAATAAAACCAAACCAAAATTAATTAGTAGAAACTTTGCATCCGGGCTGTGTATGGCGTATTACCACCTTAAGAAACATCAGAGGAAAGTCAAACACAACTAAAGCCACAAACAACAGCCTAGAAAAAAATCCCCTCCACATCTGTGACATACTGTTAATAAATGTTCCTGTGTTGCATTCAGGAGCATCATAAGCGCTCAATTCCTAAGGACACGTGGAACCTCCTCCTGGACTTCGGAAATATGATTGAAGACGACATGTCGAACTATGATGAGGAAGGTGAAGATATGAAAGACTTGTTGATGAAAGCTATTCATTACACTGTCCAAGTGTGAACATTTCAGCTGTTAATTCCCTGATGAAAGATGAACACTCACAGTTGCATGCTTGTAATTCAGTCAGTCATCCTTATGAGCTCAGACTGCATCAAATATTAGTATTTAAAAATGTGGTTGTACATTGCTTTAAGATGTGTATGACGTGAAAGGCATCATTTAAAAAAAAAAAACTTATGATAGATTTAATTGTATAGCATATATCTGAGTAACTAAACACAAAAAATGATAGGCACTGAAGTTATTTATTCAAGCACTGTCATATTGAATGTAACCTTTTAAAGGGGCAGTCTGCATACTCTGTGAATTATTTTTTTGTTCAGTTTTTTCAACCTTTTCTGATATTATAAATTGTAAAGCAAAATTAAGGTAAATCACTGTTGGTTGGATTTCTATCAGGCCAGCAGGTGGCGCCTGTGACTATTGAGAGACCAAACCGCCACATCATCACTCATTGTACTAATGACTTGAGTCACTTGAACAGATCAAATAAGGTGTCACTAACAGTCAGTGTTTTGCTCTCTCCTCAGGGGCTTGGCCAGTCCTCATAGATGACTTTGTGGAGTTTGCCCGACCGATTGTGAGGGGGAATAAGCGCAACATGACATAGTAGTTGCCCTAAAGTTTCAACCAGAAGATGGAGATTCTCCTGATTTTCTTTTTGTTTGAATGAGAATTTTTTATACAATGAGCCAAAAAGACCCTACTTTTCAAAAAGACAGTCTGCAGTTTGTTGTTAGGATCGTTCTTCCAACTGCATAAGATGCCTTGGCTGGGGAGCGACCTGAAACTCCAGTTCAAAGAGGACAGCAGCAACCGGAAAGAGAGATTCTGTTTTTTGTTGTTGTTGTTTTTGTCGTCTGCTATCAAGAAAAGACTTTGTAACTGCAATATGAAAATGATGGGTACCCTTACACTCAGCACTCGTGTGCAAATCACCGATGAGTGTGGCTTCCAACTGCTGCTGTCAACTCACTTTTACCTGAACCCTTGGCACAATGAGGAGGGACAGTGACGGTGAACTTTCAGCACATGCCGAGGATTAAGTTATAGATGCAGTAGGATGTGGCCTCATGCATTATCATTAGTGAATGACACAGAGTGTTACAAATCTGCATGTGTATGTCAGCTGGTGCAAAGTGATGGATGCTGATATGATATTTGTGAGGATGCAAAAAGTGATCTACATTATTTTAGCTGAGATTGTGAATGTGTAGCTCTCTAACAATCAAACCGAGAGCAGAGAAAAGTGTGCTTGCTGATCATAGTATGTTTGTGAGTTTGTAAATGTGTTTGTGTGGTTTTTTTTTTTTGGAGGGGGAGGGGGGTTACATTTTTGCCTCTTTTACAATTTGAAAGATTTTAATTAGATTTTAATTATAATTTGCAGTCAGGAATTTATGATTCACCTGCACTGATTGACAGTGAAAAGTTTTGTATTCACACTGAAAATTGGAGACCGCAGGATCGGAGCATCCCTTCTGAGCTCAGCACCAGCAGAATTGCTATCCTTACAGTTGTGAAACGCCCATAGGGTACGCATAGGATTCAGACTACGTTTAATAATAAATATATATATATGGGGGGAAAAAGGCAGGTACCAGTGAGGTTGATAATCTTTATTAGTAAACAGTTAGCATTTAGGATTTAGGATTTTTGTTGAAATGCTTCTGCGTTACATTGTTGTTTTGACTAGTTTTTGCAGTGTGTGAGCTGCTGTACACAAGAGAAACTGACTGGCACGTTGACTGTTTTTTATAATCCAGGTGACGATGACTTGCCAAACCTGCAAACTGCACTGATTTTACACTTTTTCTGTTGTAGGTTTTCTTATCAGAAAGCACTGTATACAGTTATATACCCATTCAGTTTACACTTACATGCTAGTATTTTAAAATGAACATCTATAACCCAGCCAGAGGTATTGTTACACTGTTAGTTTACACTGTTTGAGGCTTTTCATTGAATAAGATACTTCAGCAGGGGCAACACGTATGTGTTAAAGTACCACAACATTACTACAGAGAAAACATGTTACTTTAAGAACACTGCTTTTAGACGCCATCGAGGGGTGAGTGTGCAGTAAAGCGCTTCTCAAAGTGAATGGCTACATAACTGGATATGGGCACAAGTATGCGGGAACACCCAGCTGTAATGTCAGATGTGGCCACAGGACTAGAAGCTTTTAACCCAAGTTAAAGTTGAAGTGTCGCTCTGTAAGTGTATTTATAAACCTATACAGCTCTTTATCTGGTCCCTATTCCTGGCTTTAGAGCGTGACAGAAGGTTGAGCTCAGGTACCAGTCGTCCTCTCCCGGTCACCGTGAGCAACGGGGAGCTTTGCACATGCTTAAGTAATCCCCAAACTCTTTGTTCTCAATAGCCACCAACTACAATGTCTAGTTTAGCAAAAAGTTGTTGCCATGAATTATTTTTTTTGTGTTGAAATAATGGTGGACTGTTTCCTGCATCAGACTGTCCTGACATCTATGAACTACACAGGGAATCGTTTGCCTTTTTTTTCCCCCTTAAACTGATAAACATGTTTAAGAACTTATATTTATGTGAACAGGTGTCAGTCATTTACTATGGCCGAGTGTGTGAAGCTTCAGAAGTTGCGGCAAATCATGATGGAAAGGATTGACTGCATATGAGATCAGAAAACCAGCCTCATCATGTGATTGTAAGACAGCTACTTCAGGAGCAGGTCCATGTGTCATGTCTGTGTGTGCATCTAAGCAAGCTAGATACGTGATGGTGCAATGAAAAATCCCATGTACGTTTTTCAGTCATGTCTGTGAAGGTTCTCAATTGTCCAAGTTATGACAGTTTGAAGTTCCAAAAGACAACTGGAATTGGTTTTCCAACCAAGGCCATTTGCCTTTTCAGAATTAAATCTAAACTTTTTTTTCTGAGTCTGTTGCACCTGCAAGATGGTGGGAAATGTTCTCCTTAGTTGACTGTTGTGGACTTTATGATCTGTGCTCTACAAACGAGAAAACAAGACATTTCTCAGTGTTCAGTTAGATTATGTGGTACGTTGTTTTTTGGGGGTTTTATTTGGACAGATGTGTGGTCAAACTGTTTCTAGTCATACAGATCAATCTTTTAAAAAACAGTATTATTTTTGCCAGCAAGAAAACAGGTATTTACAGAATGTTATGTTTTGTCACAGAAGCATACCTTACATTGTTTTCTTCAAGAGAATTTTCAATAAAGCATGTTCTTTTTGATGGCCTTGTAAGCGGTGCATTGTCTTTTAAATTGTGACATCAAAGGTTTGTTTGGATAAATCAGCTGGTTGAAGATATTGAATGCAGGTAAGCAGGCATATGTTGTCCTTAAAGCCTCCAAAATTAAAAGTAAATCAACATGAAACATAACTAGGTAAATTTTCAACAAAAACTGCAGCTAAATATACAACTTGATAGTCCGTTCTGTGTTGTGCATTTTACAAAACAGAACTAGTTAATGAGGGGGGGCTACAACTAATTTGTATTATCTTTATTTCAAACTTGGTGCCTCAAAAAACTAACTAACTCTTCTTATGATGTCTCTGTAAAATAAGAAACTGTATTCATATGGCCATCTGTGCCATGCTCTATGTATGTATGTATCTAATGGAGACCTAAGTTTTGGTAATCCAATCAAACCCTGACTGATTCAGAGAGCTGATAACTAAACAGAAGTACTACTTGATGGATTAGATAATTTGTTTTTCATCTTTTTATGAGAAACTATGGACCTAAAGTGTGTATAAAATGTCAGCTTGGCCCTTATGAGGTTGCATTCCTGCCACATACCATCATCATCATCAGCTCTTCTGGTAATGCTAAGCATAGGCCTTCACCCACCAATGAGATAAATGAACACATTGGGTTGTATAAAGTGCTGGTTTGTACAAAGGGGGTCAAATAAGGTTAAGATGAAGTCAAAAGTAAATCCTGGATGCATTGCATATCACTGGAGTGTTGCTGGTGACAGTAGGAGATGATTAATAAAAAAAAAAGTTTAAAATAGTGAGGTTAGGATTAGAAAGTTGAGCCTCGATGAAGCAGGAGGCACCAGTTGGGATGATTTTCCATTCTTACCCTTCTCCCATGGGGCTGGTGGGATGTCAACAAGGTCCAGCACCAGCTGACAAGTCCGCAGTCCAACCCAGCAGCACATTAGCATCTCTCCCAGGGTGTCCAGCCCCCCATTACCAGTCCACAACTAGCTATCCAGCTTCCAGGCTTTAGTGCCATGGGGATTGCCTTTTTAGGAGACACCTGATCACAGCTGAACTCTACAACGCCCCACACAAAGAAACTGTGGCTGATAACATGATGCTTTCTTGTGTGCGCCCCGAGCTCATGCTACAGAGTGTGTAACGGCTGATGAGATACGAGAAGAGCTGTGAGGGCGAAAAGGTGTCGAGGAGGTCTCTGGTGACTGTTCTTCAAACTTCAAACGGATCTAAAAATTGGGATTTTTCAAGATGTATTTGGAAAACAGACAACATTTTTGTCATTTTGTTCTGTGACTGCAAGCCTTTTGAGGTGGTGAAGATCAACTGCAGCGTGAAAAAGTTTACATTTGTTCACAAAAGGTTGCATCTTAATCCAAAGAGAAGGAGTAGGGGCTTCATTCAAGAAAATAGCTTGTTTTCCCTGTGATTAGCTGGATAAGACGACGTGAGTGGACCCTGGTGTTATGGAGAAATTCAAAGCAGCCATGGTTCTGGGTGCTAGTGGGGATGCCTTGGGCTACAGAAAAGGTCATTGGGAGAGCTGCACCTCAGGCAAGAAGATCCAAGAGGAACTGGCATCTTTAGGAGGACTGGGGGCCCAGAAGTTAGACCCTGATAACTGGCCCCTGAGTGATGCGACACTTATGCACATGACCACAGCAGAAGCACTTGTAACAGGTAAGTTTTAGATTCACAAGGGTTTTCTCTTATTGTTATATGTTTAATATTAATCTTTGTTACTCTTATTTTTTATATTGCCATAAATAGTACTAAAACCCTTCTTATCTGTTCAATAATATATGGACAACATCTGACCTGTCCAGCCAGGTGTTAGATCTTTCGACATTGTAAAAGACAAGAATAGCTTCTTCTATACAGTCAATGGAAGCAGCTAATCACTTACTGGCAGACCATCTCTGAATGAATAACCCTGTTGACATACCCATAATCCATCCTCGCGACTGACCATCAAAGAAAAAACCTTCGTCACACTAAAGTCATTTCAAGCCCCCTGCAGGGTGGGCAGGGGTTGCCAGGACAGAAAAGTCCAAAATAGCCTACTTTGGAAAAGTATCCACGGCTCCCCTTTACTGAACAATAGCTGCTCCATAATCTGCTCGTATCATGTTTGACTGCAGATGCGGTTCTAAGCCAGTGACAGCAGTCCTGTGAAATGGTGATGACATCTTTTGAGATTAGGAAGCCCAATTTAGACACAATGCCTGAACACACATTGAACATACACACATTGTAATAAATTAATGCCAGAACATACAGTAAAAGAATAATGTTGTATGAGGCCTTCATCCATCATTAAATGGGTTTATCAAAGTATAATTCATTTTTATCTAAAAGAGACAATAAAGAACTTAAATTAAGCCAAAAGGAACACTTCCTCTTTGAACACGTTCATTGAAGGATTTAAAGGAACGCATCCAGATTTATCCTCCCTCATCCACTGTAACAGGACCTGAACTACAGTCCGGTCCAGAGGGTGAAAGTTGCTGTCTATCATCAACATCCAAGATCACCAAATACTAGGTGATAATACTCTGTCAACATCTCTTTCTCTTTCAGCTCTTTCTTCAAAACACATAAAATACACACACGAGTAAATTGTTGCAGGATGGCTGTGGGATCTGCTCCAGGATCTCAGTTGACCCCTTGGTGTGTGGAAGTGACTCCACTTGTTCTGAGGCATGCTGGTCCTAATCTGTGGTGCGGCAGGCTGACGCTAAACTTAGCCCACCGCAGTACCACTCATCTCGTCTTGCATGCCGATCATGAATGCCTTTCAGTCTGTGTTTGTGTATATGTGTCCAGATTACTGGTGTCTGGAAGACCTGTACCGGGAGCTGGTGCGTCTCTACGTTGAAGCCATGGTGTCTCTCCAGGGCAAAGCTCCAGATCCTGCCACTGTGGAGGGCTGTGTTCACCTCAAACCACACAACTTCCTGCTCGCCTGGCACACACCGTTTAATGAAAAAGGCTAGTGGAGGTTTATGATACTGTTATTAAAAACATGTGATATAAAATGTGTGTTTTAATACAGACACATATGTGTATGTACAGGGTCCGGTTTTGGGGCAGCTGCCAAAGCCATGTGTGTGGGTATGAGATATTGGCAGCCTGAGAGATTAGACAACCTGGTGGAGGTCAGCATAGAGATTGGCAGAATGACCCACAACCATCCGACAGGTTAGCATTTTCAAATATATACAAACAAATGTGACATCTAAACATTGATAATTAACTTTTACATGTATTTATTTGCATCTCACCTGTTAGTATTAATATATAGTTAAGTTTTGAATTAGAAATGTCAGTAGAAAGATATTACGCAGTGACTATTTGTGTCCCTCTTGGCTTCAGGCTTCCTAGGCTCCCTGACATCAGCACTGTTTGCATCCTATGCGATCCAGGGGAAACCTGTCGTGACTTGGGGCCGTGAGCTCATGAAGGTCATCCCTCGAGCTGAGGAGTACTGCAAGAAGACTATACGACACATGTCAGGTTAGTTTCTGCTTTTTTTCTGTATTGATGTTAAAACCTAAAAAAAAACTATAGTGTTAGTCAGTAAAGAGAATTCCTTAATTGGGGTTGTATGCTGAAAGGTGATAACAGAAATCTTTCTGATTTTTCACTCCTGAGCAGAATATCAGGAAAACTGGTTCTACTTTGAGGCCAAGTGGCAGTTTTACCTGGAAGAGAGAGAGATTGAGAACGAGGGACAGAACAAAGCGGCATTCCCTGATTCGTATGACCCAGAGGAGACGGACAAGGTACTTCCTGCCTCTCTGTCTCAAACAGATAAATAAACACAAGATATACTTGTCTTCAGGTTATACGAAATAACCTAAAAGGAAGTTTCTTGCTGTATTCTGTCCATGTCCATTTACAGATATACAAGCGCTGGAGCTCAGAGGGTCGTGCAGGCCGGAGAGGTCACGATGCTCCCATGATAGCCTACGATGCCCTTCTAGCTGCCGGCAGTGACTGGGACGAACTGTGTAAACGAGCCATGTTCCATGGAGGTGAGTACCACAGAATGCTGCACCTAAAATACATGCTAAATAAAAAATAACTTGCTGAATGCTACTTCTGTGAAAAATTCTCTTTTTATAGGTGAGAGTGAAGCCACAGGTCTGATCGCTGGCTGTCTCTATGGCCTCATGCATGGCCTGGGCAAGATTCCCCAAAGTCTGTACCAGAATCTGGACAAAAGAGAGCGCCTGGAGGAACTGGGAGAAGCGCTTTACAAAGCAGCATCTGCAGAGAAGTGCATAGACAAGTAATTCTTCTCTTCACTGGCCTGAACCCTTCTGGCTGCACAAAGGAACTGCACATGCCTCTAAAACTGCCTGCTTATATCTTACATTACTCTCTAGTCATATACAGTACAGTACTGTATACACTGATCTGTAATGAACTGACATAGTTTAATTGCCTCAGCTGGTAGCTGCAAAACATGCAGCAATGACTGCAAGTATTTTCTTGGGGCACGTGTGCTTGATTCAAGTCCTCCCTCAAATGCTTGTTTTTGTCGCTGACAGACTTAAATTGTGTGTCAAATGTCTGACAGTATCATGTGAAGGATATATACAGAGATAGGCTTCATGTTCAACAACCAACATGTATTTCCTTCTCTGACATCCTTTTCTAAAACTAACTTGTATTAACATGAAGCACAACTGATGTAATGGAAAAACAATGTGTAAGTTTACACAGCCTGTCTGCTTTGAAGATACATCTCTCGTCGCAGAAAGCTTAAAATATTTTTGAACTAGAGTGATCTTTTTAATGCATGTATGTCCTGAACTGTTTGAATGATTTTTAACTTTTATGCATTACATTACTAAGGTGTAATACTTCTATCTTATACACTGTAATCAATTATAATTTGCACTGTGATGCTCTTATCAGGTTTAGTGTACTTCATTATGAAAATCCCCATCACATGGTGAATATTAATAAACATTAAAATGGACTGAGATAAATATGCATGATGTGCCTGTTTCTCTTTGTCTTTCTTCTTAATTTTCTACCAATTATCCTCTTCTTGCTCCACAAACCTCCTCTACAATGCCCTGAACTAATCTGTAACAAGTTCACTACGCTGGAGCTTTCCACTTCAAGTCTGAACGTTATATCTCCTCCCCTTTGCTGCAGATCGGAGTTGACTATTGGAATATGAAGTTCAAGTAAAGTACTGCCAATTGACTGTAAAGTCATCCAGGGGAGAATGTTAATGAGTTAAAGAGAGAAAATAGTCCCTTTAGAGTTAACTTACTGCTCCATGTCCAGTCTTTTGATGCAAAGTGTAAAACACAAATATAGCTTTGCATTTCATAACTGTTAAATTGGTGGGATATCATTGTTCCATTCAGACAGCTAAGCCCTGCCTGGGACTCAAGAACTACTACATAGTTTATGTACAACTTGTTTGCTTGGATAATCCAAACCTATTTAGTTATCTTCAAATCTTGAATGTGAAGTCAAAATCTTTAACTGGTCAGGTATTATTTTTGTCTATTGCCAATTCATAACAAATGCTATCTCAGGACATTTTACAAAGAGAGCAGGCCTTAACCGCTCTCTTTGTTTTATTATTCACAGTGCTAACACTTAGCCACAGATGCTACAGGGATTAAGTTGTGCATGTTCTCCACTCTCCATAGACCAGATTCTCGGAAAACCAGTATCAGCCCTGATGCCGGTATGTTGAGGAAGTTGGTAAGAGATCGCAACTGTCGCCCTGTTCTCCGAGGGATTCTGGAGAGTCTCCTGCATTATCTAACACAGGATCTTCCAAAGCTGACCCTCGCAAACTCAGAGACGGCAGGGTTGGATATTGTTGCGGAAAGAAACACAGATTGGTCAGACAGCCAACTGCAGATAAGTCGCACTATTGTTCAGCACAAGTCAGATCCTCAAATGACCCTGGAAAAGAATGCTGAGACCTGTTCCAAGACCCCCTGCTGGTCAGATCCACAAAAAGAGAGTGGAGGAGATCAAAAAGCAGGAGACTTAATATCCCGGCGCCTTACCACATTCCAGATACTCCAATCCAAATTCACAAGATCCACACCTAAACCACCCCTCACCCACCAAAGGGAGGTGGGAACTCTTTGTCCAAGCAGAGGGCTGGGAGGTCATACGAACAACCGCCAAGACAGTGAGCATGACATGCATACAAAGGCTCGCAATGGAAGAGAAAAAGGACTGAAAAGGGGAGGCGGTGTGAAAGATATTGTAGCTAAGTTTGCCATGGTTGAACAAAAGGAGAAGGGGCAGAACAGTCTGAAGAAACAGCCAATCAAACCAAGACTTATTGGAAGAGGAATCCTTTTATCATCTTTGATGGAGAGGTTTGAGACCATGGCCACTGTGCGTAAGGGAAGCGACTTAACGAGTTCAAAAGAAAGACCTTCTGGTGGAGTCCAGGTAACAAGTAGTGTAAAAGAGAGGGTAGCTTGTCATGAAAGACTCCACCAACATGCAGCTGAACAAACTGTTCAAATACAAAACCAACATAAGCGAATGAAACGTAAATCTGATGAAGAGCAGTCAAAAGAAAAGAAAACTACAAAAGGCAAGGAACAAAAATCTAAGCACGAAGTGGATGTTTCAAGAAAAGTTACCTCCAATCTGAAAGGAATGTATGATTTAAAAGTAAAGAACATAGAGCAAAGAAAGCTAATGGGTGATTCAGACCCAATAGATGAAGATCATTGTTCTTTCAAAGCTAATATAAAGGATCAAGCTTATATTAACAATGCTGAGGGCAGGGTGTCAGGGGAATATGGTAATACTGAGACTACAGTAGAAGAAAACAATATGACTGGCAAGTTAAAACATGGACATCTTCAGATTCTCTGTTTAGCATATGTCACTGAGAACACACTCCCAGAACCGTGCAGACTAATTCCTCAGGTAGAAACCCAAGTTAATAGGCATTTGGCAACCATCATAACCTGCTCACCTGTGTGGTCCAAATATGTGGATTGTTCTCCTAAAACTTATTCTGCAAAACCGTCAGAAGGCTCAACCTTTGCAGAGGTTTTTAACGTGATGACAGAAGTTCCCCAAGGAGCCCAACAACACCCTTCAATGGGATCGAATGCAGATGAACCTTTCACTTCAGTGACTGAAGGGAGAAGTCTCTTAAGATCAAAAGCTGAGAAACTTTCTACATCTATGGAGCCAACAGAGAAAGAAGGACTGGAAAATCTGAATCCAACCAAAGCTGAGACCACGCATCGAAGGCTGCCAAAGTACCCCATTCCATGTGTTTGCAGATTTGATTACTGTGAAGATGATGACGATGATCTGACTGATTCCTCCCCCCAACCGGCACTGGAAACAGTGGCTCCCTTGGTTTCAATACCACCACAACAATCTGATACTTTTGAGACAGATTTTAACTCTAGATTGGTGACTTTTCAAAATATCAAGCTATGTCTTCCTAATAATACGAAAGCACCAACCCATCATATACAAACGAAAAAGAATCCAACGGATGGAAAAGAGAAAGACATGGAGGAAAACATAGAAGTCACACAATTGGACACAAAAGAAATGGGCATGCTTCAGAGTTTAACGGTTTCTGATCACACAGCCAACGCGGCTGCATTCAAAGACAGTGAGACTTGTGCTGTACCATTTTCTACAATTGAACCTGAGCGAGACAGTCCAAAACAGAAACCAAAGTACACGACAGTCAACTATGGGGATCCTTCAGTAAAACAAACATATAAACCAAAAATTATACGATTTACTGACACCTTTACTTTTTAGGTTGGTATCATTTACACAAATGATACAATCCTAGAACTTAATATTTTTCTGATTTTAAAATGATTGTGACATCAGTTAAATCAAGGTTTGTCAAAGTAGTGTACTCGCGTTGCCAACATGAAGACTTATTTAAATTAAAACAGCTTTACATTTTGTAGTTTTATTTTGATTTGATCAAATATGAATATTTTTTTAATCTATTTATCCGCCTAGTCTGAATATCTTCCCAGGACCATTTTCCAGCTTCTCTTGAGGGAAACCCAAATACACCAAAGACATGCCTGGTGCAGGATGCTCAAATATTACTGTGTGCCAAATAATTAACAACTAACATGTAAATCTTTCATCATAATTCTCTACAACTTGTATGGCATGGTGTTTAACTTTTACTGTAAACTAGAGATGTTTTAGTATTGTTTGTTTATTTCTAAATAAACTTTTAAAAACTATAATAGCACACTGTCAATCCTGTCTTATTTTTAAATCACTGATAAAGTGGGGTAGGTAGCTTTTAATATTTGTAAAATTTCATTGAAAAAAAAAAAATGGCTGCATACATGAAGTTGTCAAAGCTGTTCAGAAGTACCTGATAATATTTTTTTAATGATAGAGAATCTTTCAGGCAATAAAGATGAGCTTATAAACAGGAATAATAAAGTCAGACTTCAAGTTTTGATGTCTCTCTATGTAATAGTGAGCACTGCAACAGATGCTTATCTCCTTGAAACAGTGCCAAATATGTCCATAGCTGAAAGCTCATCCTGTTGACAAATCCGACCCCGCCCACCAGCAGGATTACACTCCCAAGTATTTAGACTTATTCTGGTATATTATGAGAGGATAAAAGATCATGGCCAACATGAGCCATCATCTGTCCATGACAAGGCTTATCCTGACTCACCATGCTCCATTCTGGTTGTGCTGGTAGGAGTATAGGTGTTCTTATCTATCGGAGTATAATAAACATCAGAATACAGAATACAGAGCAGGGAAAAGTATAAATAGGCTACTGAATAATACAAATAATACAGGTTCTTTGTTTCTTAAAAAGAATAGTGATTTCTGCAGGCTGGTTATAGCAATTCAGAGATGCACCACAGCAAACAGTAGGCTATGTTAAGTTTTTCTTTTAATTGCCCTGTAACACTTTTCTAACCCTACGTGATTTTTCTCCTTTTCCAGCTATGGATAAAAAGAAACTATAGAGTTCAAAGATGGCTAAAAAGCCAACAGAACAACCTTAATGTCATCCCGGGACAGTGAGTATCTGGGGCTCTGCTCCAGATTCTCTCATTAGCACATAATCAAATTTAAGTCTGGTGACTGTTGAAGTCTGAGTCATGTTGATGCTCATCATCTTCTCCAGAAAGAGCTTTCTACTTTTACTTGGGTGAGGGTGAAATACTTCTTATCTTTGTTTTGTTAAAATTCATGTTTACTGATAATATAATACGATTTCCCAAATGTTTCTCTAGGAACGAGGTGTGATGACTCTGGGTTCACAAAAGGAATAGTTATTTTGAGGTCAACCATTTACTTTCATTAAGCACTGGTCCGACTTAAGTATCTTTTCTATTGAATTAACTTATTAGCAACCTTCTCAAAAATTAAGGGGGTGGGAAAACTGATTCCCCTGTGAAGCAGAAATGTAGTTCCAGGTATTTACTGGACAACTAAAGCTCTGCAGAGGCGCATGACATCAACAGATGACTAACTAACCTACCTGTGCTACGTGGCTGTGCAGTCTGTGGACTGTACCGAAGAGGGCGCGGCCTGTTACAATTCCAGTTGCCTTTGCGTGTTATCGGACATCGGACACTTATCATTAGGGAGCTGTGAATGTGACAGTTTAATGTTGCCGTGTCTGTAGCGAGAGTCGTGATGATAAAACATACTTTACGACAAAATGTTCTACAATGTGTTAATGTTGCAGGATCATCAGTTAGCCTACTTGTTGCAAAACAAGGGCGGTGAAGTAAAAATACGTCTAAAAGTCATACATACGTGTATCATAAACAGGTCATAGAGAAAAAAAGGTTCTTAAATCTTTAACAGACTTCACCCTTCATTAAAAACAATGGATCTTGTTGACGTGGTTACCTGCAACAAACTAACGCTTCAAAAAACAGTATTTGCAGAGCCATAATTGAATCACTTTAAACTTATCACATATCTCCCCCTTAAGTTATGTCACTGCAAGTCCAAACACAGCTCCCTGAATGCCCAATAAATGACTAACCATTCCGATCGCTACGAGGAACTACTTCACCTGAAGGCAGCATTCGCTTTGATTGACGTGTGCGTCCTGGGACAAACGTCACCAGTCGGAAATTTTCAACCGAGTTAAGTGGATTTTTCGGTGGCTTGTTGTTTTTGGACCCAACTTGGACAGTGTTTAGTATTCTTCATGTAAATGTAGTTTTTAGCGCCTCATGCCGGCTGGTTGTTCTCCAAGGGGAGGACCAGGGGAGGACCAGGAGGGGGACAGAAGCAGCAGCAGCAGGTGCATGTGGATGCCGATAAGACTCGAGGAAAACTCCGCTTTCTCAACACGGCTTGTTTTTAATAATCGGCGAACATTTGGATAATTTGACTTCTCGGTAAGGTCTTCAAAGCTTTCCGTCTTCGAGAATAGCATGTTAATCCCAGGGGGAAAAAAAGGCAGTGTCTAGTCGCTCCGCACGCCAACATGGTTAAAAGTCAACGCTGAATTACCTCCACTCATTGTTGTGATTTCTTCCGACATTCACGTTTTTATGTACAAGACTATGTTTTTGGCACCTTTTCGCGGGAACGTAACTTGGTGGATTACGGAGTCTTGACTCTTGCGCAGACTTTTCGGGATAACAGTGGAGGTAAAGTGAGGCAATGGAGAACAAGAACAAGAACAAGGCGAGCAGTCAGAGCTCCTCCGCTGTCAACGGGACAGCCAGAAGCAGAGTGGAAAGGTAAACCTATTGCCATTTACCTTGCGCTTTTTAAACGTTTAAAAACAACGTCTCAGTGACTTTGTGAAGCCAGGAGTAGTTAAGTAACTTACCCGATAAGTCAATTTAGTAGTACCTAATTACTTCATCCCTCATTTCTCGGTAATTGAAAGCATTAACAAACCATTTAAAAAAAACAAAAAACAACCGTGACTGAAGTTGTTAGCGCCACTGCTAACATCTCGCGATGATTGCTGGAAGTTATTCGTAGTTTTTTTTATTTATTTGTTTTAAAACTACAAGAGCTATGTAAAGTCTAAAGAGATAATGTGCAATCTTCATTCTACACAAGTCTTTTTGATTTAATGTCTCCTGGGTTAGATGTTACTCAGCTGTAATGTAATTTAAGGAGAAATATACCTTCTGTACAAGTTTTGCATTTCTACTCCTGCTAATAACAACACATTGTGACCCAAAAGCCTCATAGTAAATCCTACCTTCTTTGAAGATTATTATGTGAAAGCCTTTTGGGAAGTATTTTCAGACAGATTAATAGATGTTTGAGTTAATTGGGTTATTGCATTTTGAGGTGTTTCATAACGATGTCTGCAACCATGAGAGAAGGCTATTTTTTGTTTTTTTAACAACCTCCAAATGATCCATACCATTGAATAAACACCTCTCTTCAACAATTTGAACAAAAGCAAATTGTTTTAACTTTCACGAGGGAAGGATTTATTGAAAGCTTTTGTATTACATTGCCATAGTTTTATCAAAGTGTCCCTTACAAACTAGCTCCTGACTATATAATGGACACTCTGGTTCAACAGAACTTAGAAATAGTGCAGAGTGCATGTTATGTGGACATAGACTTGAAAGCATTTGGCCTTTCGTAGATGTTTGTTTCAAATCAATACTTACATCCAGCTATTTTTTTTTTTTAAATGACAAGGGAAGCTGTTGCGTGTGACAACAAGTTACACATTCACAAACTTTACACTCAAACATCTGATGTGTGCCCATCCCTTGTTTGGGCAACAACATGGGGGAACATCACATTTGCAAGATGACACCTTTATCTTCACCCAGTGTTTGCAGAGCCACACTAGTTCAAGCTAATACTGTGTCTAGTCTGCTAGCAGTTGTGAAGTCTGTTGTGTTTTTAACATGATCAAAACGGATGTAGTGACCCCCCCCACAGTACTGCTCTGTGGTTGTATGTTCTTCTTATGGGATGACTGCTTTCGAGAAAGAGTTAAGCTACAGGGAGATAATCTTGTTACCTAAGGCATTAGGTTGAGCCACCTACACCCACAACTTTTTCATCTGGAGTCTGATTCCAGATTTAGGTCTTGTGCATACAAATGCTTCATAAGAAAAGAGAAGTTTGACCCAATAAGCCTTCAATCTTGCCTTTGTGCTTTATCCTGTCTAGTTACGCTTGAACAAAGGCACTAAGGATGTAGGGACAAGGCCCTCATAATAAAATCATCAGCAGTTTAAAGTAGAAAAATATACATTTAGCATGATTTTTATTTTCATTTTATCCTAAATTCAGTTACATAATAGTAAACGGGTTAAAGCACATAATGCATACAGGTATACTAAAACCTGTTGTAATAGAGTTTTTAAGCTTAAAACATTATGATTTGAATGCATGACAATGTTTCATTCAAGGTATTTACATTTTTTTTTTTTTTTTTTAACTTTTTGCCCCAGTGTGGATCCGTATGGCTTTGAGCGCTCAGAGGACTTTGATTATGAGTCATATGAGGAACTCATGTCCGAATATCTGGCTGTGCTTACACGGCGATCCATCAAGTGGTCCAAACTGCTGAAGGGGAAAAACAAGGTCCAGAAGAATGTAAAATGTAAGTGTGAAAACTTCAACAAGCCAGGTGTGTGTGGTGTGTGTGCATGTGGTGTGGTGTGGTGTGTGTGTGTGTGTGTGTGTGTGCATCTTAACTGAAATCTTCCCCCTCTCCTTCAGTAAAACGTTATGTACGTAAGGGGATTCCCAATGAGCACAGGGCTCTGATCTGGATGGCAGCCAGCGGGGCCCAAGAAAAGCTAGAGAAGAACCCAGGATATTACCAGTCCCTTATAGAAGCCCAGCATGACCGTAAACTGGTGGAGACCATCTGCACAGGTCAGACTGCCAAAAGAGTTTCTGATTCGTCCATATGCTGACTGAGAAAAGAAGTGACACACCTCACACCAACCCCAACTAAGTTGTTTTTGAAAGAGTAAAGGTGCAAAGTCTGTTTTCTGTTATGACTTGTATTTGAAGCTCTACTTAAAGATAAAGTGTTATTTTCTTCACTCCGCCTACTTGTGCAAATTAAAAAAACAAAAAAAACATTAACACTTTTAAGTTAAACTTACTGGCAGTAGTGCTTTGGAGACATGATGGCCTCTGCTCAGTCAGGGATGACAGAGAGCAACAGAAACATGTTCAAGTGGCAGTCTAAAGGTTTTTGTTTAGCCTTGACATATTGAACATTTTGTCTTTTGCTTGTGAAACGATAATATTTTTAGTGGTGGTGGTGGTGGTGGTGGTGGTGGGGAGGTGAAGAGAAACACAAGTACGATAAAAGACTTTATTTTTAAACTAGTCATTGCTTACGGACTGTCTCTGTGGTTGAACTGTTTTGTGCTTCCAGTATTTAGTTTACCAGTTGATAGTTTCTGCTGAGTTCAGCCGACGATGCCAGACAGAATGCAAACCCTGAAGGCAACAACACAGAAGGGTGTCTGACAGATTGGTATTTTGTTTCTCAGAATATGTTTTCTGTGTTGAGTGGCTCATATGCATTGCTTTGAAGTAAATGGAAATCCTCTTCATCCAGAGCAGCTGCCCTGTTAATGTTTGAAGGGGGTGCTGATTTCTGAGAAAGGATCCAGGATAGCCGGTGATAGATCCATAAATGTGAAGGTGTATCAGAGAAGAAAAACTGCAATTTAACAAAGCATTGAAGACCTGGGAAAGTCTTCACTACAGCAATCATTTGATCTATCTCAAACAATTGTGACCTCAAAAGTATGAAGCTCATGTTGTAAAATAATCAGCCAGAAGTTTGTGCTTGCATTGTGTATTAGTTTACCTTATTAGTAGAACATTTTTGTTCAGTTACAAAAAGTGTTTTACTTGGTGAGCAGTTATTTTAACCTCAGCATCACCTCGGTCCTCTCAGTTTAGGCGATACTTTATATATTCAGGTTAGCTGTCTTTGTTTGGAAATAGTAAGTTATCCAAAAACATACATTGCACAGAGTATATATAATAGCTTAACATAAACATACAAACTTTATGTAGAGGTTTTTTGTTCAGATGTTGTCGGATCACAAGACTGAAGTAATGATCTAAATTGTTACGCAGACTCTGGTGCTGCTTTTGAGTTTGCAGCAAAACATATTAAGTGTATTATTATTTATTTATTTTACAGACTTGAACAGAACATTTCCAGATAACGTCCAGTTCCGCAAGACATCAAACCCATGTCTACAGAAAGCTCTGTACAATGTGCTGCTGGCTTACGGCCACCACAACCCGACTGTGGGCTACTGTCAGGTAATACCACTGAAGAGCTGCTTGTGGGTGGATTCTACGATCGTCTACATTTAAAAGTAAAATGTCATTCACCAAAGCATGAGAGGCTTGATTTGCAATTCAAACAGGGAGCAGAGCTGCGCTGATGGTTACATCCTTTTTGAGGTAGAACTAGGAAGCATCCATCTATGGTCACACTCAGACCACCTTTCTGAGCTTTGGTGTCGCCCAGAGGATATTTTCTCTGGATGAAATTCATTCTTTGATGTATCTCTTAAAACGGTCCTTCATAATCTTAAAATATTTAAATTACATATTGATCACTGTTTAGTCTGAAAGCATACTAAGTGCCCTTTTGTTGGTATAATGTGCCTTAAAATGTAACACTTCAACAGATTGAAAAAATCTAATAATCCTCTCTTTTCATTAAATTATGTAACTAATCTTTAAGACGCCTGCTCTTGTTTTTAATTATGCTTCAGTAATTACCGGTATGTTCTGTTTTCTACTGTGTAGTTTCTTTTACAGCTGTGAGTGTACTAAGTTGTCTTGTTTTATGGAATGTATTTTATATTTTTATATTAGTAATAAGCTCCCCCTCATGAAATAAAGAAATGGTTCTTCAAAGGTGAAGCCCTCTCAATTGAAAAGAAAATTCTTGGTCCTCCTTGAATGCTTTAATAGCAAAGAGCTCTACAGTCTGTATTAAAACCTGCTCAAGCAGGATCACTAAATTCCTATGTAACCTGAGTGTGACTCTTTTGTCTCCAGGGGATGAACTTCATAGCTGGGTATCTACTTATCATCACAAAAGATGAAGAGAAATCATTCTGGCTGATGGACGCACTCCTTGGTAGAATTTTACCAGGTATGTATGTGTGTGTGTGTGTGCACACGATTGTGTGTACATTAAACAGTTTTGTCCTGACAGTGGTGGGTAGTAGCCTGGATTGTCCCCTTGGTTTTAACTAAAAATAATCCTGTAGGAGGTCACATGATATGTATCTGTTTATCGTTTAAGACCTACAGTGTGGTTTCATTTGCATCTTGTACACACTCAAACAGGAAAAATAACGTAATTAAGTTAGGCTAATTTACAAACATGTAAACAATATTATAGTATAACTCACAATGATGTGTGTGTGTCTGTGTGTGTGTGTGTGTGTGTGTGTATGGTTCCAGACTACTATAGTCCAGCCATGCTGGGGCTTAAGACAGACCAGGAGGTGTTAGGGGAACTTGTCAAAGTCAAAATTCCCAGAGTCTGGCAGACCATGCTGGATCATAATGTCATGTGGACCCTGGTGGTCTCCCGATGGTTCATCTGCCTCTACATAGACGTATTACCAGTAGAGGTGAGTGTTTATCAGTGTTTGTTTGATAGTGACAAAAGAAGAAATCCTGCCATTAAAACATTCAGGACTTTACCTACACATGAGGCAGCCAAGTTATTCTTAACTTTTATGCTGTGATAATGAACTTTGCGTCTTATACTTCAATGAATAAAAGCTCTTTCAAAGTGCAAAATCTAAATCATATGAAAGAACACAGTTTCCTTTTTGCCTACTCTATCAATCAATAAATCAATCATTATTTATCTCAGAATTTTATTTTAAACTCCTTTGATTTGTTTTTTTTTCTTTCCAAATTCAAATAGCTAAGGGAGGGTTGTGGACTACTGTGGTATTTTCACCAAATACACATGGAGCTTCACCAAGAGGGTGTAACACATGGAGAGGTTCATTTTATTCCCACCAGGCCATGATTCAATCCAGAGGTTGATTCAGAGTAACTGCTGAAGCTGAGGTGTTCCTTCGCCTCACTTGATAACAGCAGCTGAGTTACATGTAACAAAATAGGAATTTTAAGAGTCTTCACTGGTGTTGTTTTATGTAGATGCCTTGTTAGTGCTGATATTCATTTAATTGAAGACATAAATCCAACTGAGTGCAGTCAGTGCATGCTATTCTGGATGAGAATACTCTGAATGAGATTTCCTCTGCTTACAGAATCATTTTTGCCATGCCTACATGTACCAAGATGCATTGCCCTGAGCAGAAGCAGCTTAGCATTGCCTCGTCCCATTTGTCTAACAGGATGCTCTGGTTTGAATTAATACAGCTTAATATCTTCACCGGCAAAATACTGCAATATAGATTCTCACCTAAAACAACCTCTCAGTTCAGCCTATAAACAACAAACCTATAAACAACAAACAGCAACTGGTCATAGATACATTGATGTCTTTCAAACGTCTCTATAACTTATACATTGTTGCTGTTGCCTTGCAGACAGTTCTGCGGATTTGGGATTGCCTGTTTTACGAGGGCTCTAAAATCCTGTTCCGTGTAGCTCTGACACTCATCCACCACAACGAGGCTCTGATCCAACAGGCCCAGTCTCTACCAGACGTCTGCCAAAGCTTCAAGCAGATCACCCATGGACCATTTGTGGATGAATGCCACACTTTCATGCAGGTAAAAAAAAGTACAGAGGTACTGGGCCTCATTGACTAACACAAATATGTGCTTTTTCTTAGAGGTGCGGAGGGACTCTGCAGATCGAATGGAGTTTGGAAGTTCATTCCACCACGGGGGGGGCAACAGAGGAGGAGAGTCTAGTCAGTTCTTAGGACCCTGTTGTGAAGGTTGGATCAGACGCCTTTCATTGGCAGAGCGTAGTGGGCGGGAAGGAGTGTAGACCTGGATTAGAGAGTTAAAGTAAGGAGGAGCCGTTTTTTTTTGTTGCTGTTTTGTAAGCGAGAGCAGCAGAGTTTTAAATTTGATGCGAGCAGTAACTGGGAGCCAGTGTAAGGAGATGAACAGCGGAGTGACATGTGCTCTTTTAGGAAGGTTGAAGACCAGTCGTGCTGCTGCATTTTGTATCATTTGCAGGGGTTTGATAGTGCATGTAGGAAGACCTGCCAGTAGAGAGTTGCAATAGTCGATGCGTGATATCACAAGAGCCTGTACCAGGAGCTGTGTAGCGTGTTCTGACAGGTAAGAGCTGATCTTCCTGATGTTGTACAGGGCAAATCGACATGACTGGGCAATCGAGGCTACTTGATCCTTAAAAGTTAGCTGGTCATCAATCATGACACCCAGGTTCCGGGCAGACTTTGTGGGCATGAGTTTGGTTGTTCCAAGCTGGATATTGATCTGTGGTTGCATAGAGGAACTGGCTAGGATGACAAGGAGCTCAGTCTTTGAAAGATTGTGTTGAAGGTGGCGTTCATTCATCATTTAGAGATGTCATTTTTTCATGTGATCACTCATTTCTCCATCTTTCTGCCATTTTCTCCTCCGCTTGAGTAACTCTTAAGCCTCTTAGAAGTCCTCCTCACTCCTAACAGCTTTTCACGTAGGAGCTCTCACGAGGGCTAAGATGCTTTGTGAATAACTTTTGTCTTTACTAGGATTCAGTCTTAACTTTAAGGGGAATTACTTAGGCAACAATATGTGTTTGGAATTGTACTATGAAGCTTGATGGCCCTTAAGTCGTATTCAAAAAGCCTCTTCAGTACAATGAGTTGCTCCTAGTGATACAATTCTAAGAAAGTTCGTACAATCCTGACGTTTTCTAAGAACTTCCCCTTAAAGTTAAGACTAGATCCTGGTAAAGAGATCTATTAAGGTTAAATTCTGTTAGGAGTGGTGAGGACGACTTTTAAGCGGCTTAAGAGTGTCTAAAGCTGAGAGGAAAATGGCAGAAAGATGGAGAATGGGTGATCACACAATCAATTACATCACAGCCTCATATTAATATCATTTAGATAAAGTACAAAAATGACTTGTCATTGTAGATAAACATAAGAGTACAGCAAGGAAAGACAAAAGCAGTACAGACAGGAGCCTTGATTGAGAATATTCTTATTGAATCATAGTAGGGCTGAACATACAAAAATAATTCATGCAGACAACTCGGTCCATTTTGGACTTTGTTCCCAGAGGCTGCTTTACAAGTAGGCATTTTATAAGCTATTTAAAGTATAGCTTACAATTTATTCAACAGATGTTGATTACATAAAATAGTGTTAATGATTACACAATACCTGACAAGATTCTATGATTCATTTCACTTTCTTTCTTTGCCCATTATCATTAAGAGAGCGTTTGTATTCATTTTTTGAATCAACCAATCACAGCTTTTGAAAGAATGTGTCATAACTAGCAACAGGGTACCCACGCCTCCTCACCAAGAGATCCTCACCACGCCTCCTGTCCCTTCCTCGCTCAGTTGTTTTTTTTCTTACCACTGTAACTTTTGCTGCTTTGCTAAAGTGCTTATGATGATCTTTGTAATATAGCAATAAGTAAGGTCTTTTTACCTGCTTTTTGTAACATAACAATGAGTAAGGTATTTTACCTGCTTTTTGTAAAGTGTCTCGAGATAATGCTTATGAGTTGACGCTATACAATAAAAATTGATTGATTGATTGACATGAAAATGACTCTTGCTGGGATTCTTAAAGCCAAGTGAGGAGCTCTGTGAGATTATTCTCAGAATGTTTGTTAAAATGGGCCCTGGTGTTTTTCTGTCTGTCCTAGAAAATATTCACCGAACCAGGAAGTCTCTCCATGGCAACCTTGACGAAGCTGCGGGAGACTTGTCGATATCGCATCATTGCAGAAGAATCTTGAACCAAACTGCACTACCTGTCGTTAAGATACATTCCACTGGGATGAGTCCCCACTAGCTAGTTTGCACCTCTTTTTTCACTGACTTGAGTCATGCTGACAACATACTGTATAATTTGTGTCTTAAATAGATGATCTTACAGCTTCAGTGTAAATATATGGTCAAAGATGAAGACTAATCTAAGCTATGTGCTGTATGAACTGATGATTCCATTTGAGACTAACTTAAATGTGGTATTTTGCACTTTAATATGAAAGGTGAAAGACAAAGTTGAGGTCAGGTCATATTAACGATGTGTTGTACACTGTAAACACAGCCATGAGGCCTGCTGTGCCTACTGTATTCACATTGACAAATTCTGACAAATCACACTGCTGGAACCAGCTGAATGTGAATCATACTGACATGACATTTTTCTGAGACATTTCAAAATCTGCTTCTTGTAGTTATTGTGTTTTGATAAGGTGTTTGTCATAGTTTGTGACCTTTTCCTTAACAGAAGTGAAAGGGCCGCTCTCTTTTTGTGTCAAAGGTGTATCAAGTTTGTTCTGTTGGGAGTAGTGATGTCCGGTTTTGTTGCTCGGGACAAAAATAACCGTGGCATTGGTCCCAGCCCTGAGTATTCCATGTAATGTACACCAGCTCAGAGCAAATGCTCGTATTTATTTCACTCCAGGAAAATCTACAGTGCTAAAATGAAATACTCAAGGAAAAATAAACAGTACTGAACTTAAAAGACTTTTATTAAGTTTCAATGAGATGCATATTAGAAAACGAGTTCAAACCATTTTCTTTAAAAAATAAAAGATCAAATCACGACACTTCATGTCAACATTTCCTTCCAGAGGTGGGGAAAAGCAATGGATAGAAAAATGTACCCATGCACTGTTTCATTTATAATGATAAAAACATGTAGTGATGCAGAGCTACAAAACTGTGTGCGTTTGGGGTCGGACCACTACACACTGTTTACACAAAATAGTTACCGACCTTGTTATCAGAATTATAAGACTGTGCTTTGTATGTTGGATTTCACTCCTGGGAGAGCTCAGGCTTTTGGCTGTGGAGGAACGCGATGAGAAAAGATACAAGTTCATTTCCCTTTTCGTGGAGTCTCTGGGATCATCTCAATGCTCAGGAAGTTTATTAAAACTACTCGTGAACACGGGTAGGCTTAAGAATAAAATGAAATAAAAGAAAGAACAGGGGCCAAGCTGTTGGCCTCTTTTTTTAGAATAAATATTCTTGCTGTGCTGTTTATTGACTCTCTGCCTCTGTAACTGCATGGGATACAAAAAAGATAATTTTTAAATAATTCTAGAGTTATAAACAACAAACAGCAGGTTGAGCAAATTCAAACATTTCATGGAACATAATGAAACAAGAATACAACAGCTGATGGGGAAATTGCTGCAGCAAATTCAGACTGCCTCCATCCTTTTTCGACTCCATCTAGATGATCACACAAACTAAACTTAGCAGGTCTTTGGCTTCTCGTCTCACGGAGAAAGTGAAAGTAAAATATCCAGAGGTCACACATGATATGCAAAAACTAGCATGCACTCACCACAGAGCACCAACTGCTTCCATTCACTCATGTTGTGTCTAGTCTTATTACCTGCTCACTCACACACTAAGGTTCATCTCCATCTATGTCTGCCACGTTTAAGTTTGAAATAAAGGGTCCACTCAGATAGTTTGGTATCCAGCGTGGCTCCTCTTCCTGCCTATTAGATACGCAATGAGGACGATTAGCACCAAGCCGGCAAGAGCGGCTCCCACGATGATGGGGATCAACATCTGGGTTTGGTCTATCTGACACTCCTCGGCTGGTTATGGGAAGGAAAAAGAGAAGATGAGAAATTATTTTGTAGAGTTTTTAATCTGGAAAATGCACAAGTCTGCATTTCTACTGGCTGACCACTTTTTGCAGTTCATGGTTTAAAGCCCCTTTGAAAATGTTGAACAGAGGGATTACTGATTCTTAACTCATGACCTTTTGAGTCAAGAATGTCTGAGGATTGTCTAAGAAAAGTTCATTCGTTTAAACGTTCTCAATTATGGCTGAAACATCCAGGACAAAAACATGCTTTTTAAGAAATAAAATAAATGTTTCCTACCAGAGCTGAAAAATGTGACAAATAAGTGCCACAACAATGTTGTGCTTGATGCAGCTAAGTGACTTATTTTAAGTCACAACAGAAATAGCTCTTCAAAAGTAGCTTTGAATTTCATTAAGTGTACTTAATCACTTTCTTGTCATGGATGAATTTAAAAGCATGGACCACTCAGGTGTCTTTCTGATTAATATAAAAGCCATAGCCAGCGGGCAAAGAACTTAGCTTAGCTGAGATGAATGTTTTGATTAAGGGTGAAACAGCTGGTTGTGATATTTCTGTTTTTGTTTTAACAGATATACTGGTAAGAATTCTCAATCTTGTAATCTCATGGAGACACATTTCCATGTGCAAACTTCCACCTGCGGTAGCTTCTGTGTAGAAGTCAGAGTTAAAAAAAAAAAAGAAAATAAATTGAGCAGGGAGAATAACACAAAGCTTTGTTACCTGTTGCAAACTGGTTTGTGGTGACTTCAAAGGGCTGCACCTGCACTCTGAATGTGTTGAGAGAGAAAGTGGGCACTACAGCCAGAGTTTGCTCTGCGTTGCACATGTAGGAGCGGCCGAGGGTACTCCGCAGGTAATCCAGGCTGGTGTTACTGGCCTGGAAAGGACCTGTGGAGAGAGATGTGTGACATGCGTCTTTGATTTTAAGAACTGAAGAGTCAGGATGAAAATGTTTGAGTCTTCTGATGGTAACATACCCCTCATATCAGACCAGTTAGCCAGCAGCGTTATCGCACTCAGGCGGTACTTGTTGCTTGTGGAGTTCTGTGAACAGGCGAGGGTTTCAATTAACACCTACACTACACAAGGAAAAACAAAACAGGATCTAAATTCACATAAGAGGAAGACAATCTTACCAGGGTGAAGGTGAGGTTGAGTGTGGTGATTTGCTCTTGTGTTAAAACCAGGGAAGCACTGCTGGCTTCACATGATCCTGATACACTGGTCTCATTGGGACTCAGGTTTACTAATTCTTGCACAGTCTGGAAACAAAGACAAATGCGGTTCATTTGTTTTACACAAGGCAGAAAAGACAGGCATTTCTAAATGATTTTACAATGGGTCGTAAATCTCTCTTTTACTTTGTTCTGAGATAGAGAGAAATAGGAAACATTGAGCTGCAGTCCCATCCGGGCCAGGAGACACACAGTGCCGTTTCTGTTGTTTACAGAGTAGGTGCCCCGTTCAGGAGTTCCTGGAGGGGTCGGTGCTGGGGCTGGGGTTGTTGTAGTACTGGCAGTGGTTGGTGGAGCTGTAGTACTAGCCTGATCTGCCATGCATACACTCTCTGAAGCAGGAAAGGAAAAAAAACAAAAAACATGTATAATCACCTTTAAAGAAACAAAATCAAACAATCTAGAAATTAACACATTCATGTTGGACAACCAGTACCTGTTGGACTGAGTTCATTTTGTGGCATGTACGCCTCGAGTCTTGCGCCAGAAAAAGTGACAGTTGATCCTCCAACTCGGAAAGTGGTGGGACTCTCACAGCGGTAGGTGGTGTTGACCGTTGCCCAGATCCCAACTGAAGACGATACAACAGTGACGACATCTAGGGCAAAATCAAACATACAACAAATCAGTCTCAAAACACCAGTGAAATAAAGGCACGTGTTCTTTGTTCATTATTTCTTTGTTCACTTGATTTGTTTCAGACTAAAATGCTTTAATGTAACATGAAACATTCTCTTTTGATGATACTGTATATAAGAAGCTGTCCGACTGTGATGGTCTTAAAAGTGCCACAATCTGCACTGATCATGATAACATTGTTTTTTTAAATTTGCTCTCACCGGAGCTGTCTGCCCCGGGGAAGACTGAAGTGTCGCTGAGGTTGTACTGCAGCGTCAGGTTAGCCACGTTGTACAGACTTCCGTTGGTTGAAAAGCTTAATCCCAGAGCGTGGCCGGGTCCAAACACAGCCACCAGCCAGGGCGAGCTGCTGTCTGTGCCACATGAGCTGCTGCCTGTGTCCGCTGTGGCCGAGTCGGGCAGAGAGAACTGCGCTGTTCTCTGAGGAAAAGAAAGAAGACACGACGTCGACTGGAGTTAACAACAAGGAGGTACGATCAATTAAGATGAGCGGTCTTTCAGAGAGTGCGTGTTGTCGTCACTGGGCATACCGTGCTGCTGGAGGTGTTGTACGGGATGGAGAATGACGCTGAAAGCTCAGCCTTAATGCAGGTGGAGTCCCCCGCCCTCACCTCCAGAGTAACAGCCTGAGAGCGACCTGAAGAAGAGAACACAAAGAGCAGGGGTGCTCGAAATCAAAATGGCACTGAAAAACAATCTACAGTAATAATAACATGGACAAACTGTGTCATAAACATGTCATGGTTTGAGTGTTTTGTGCCATCTCATATCGCACCGTGAAAACTAAAATAATGTATACGTAGCCTATGAATACACAAAATGACCTGCAGACTGCTTGAGCGATAAAGTTTTCAATATTTAACTTCACTGAAATTAGAATGCACACTTGGATATTGCTAAAGCATATCTATCTGGGTCTTCTTTTTTATATGACTTGCCTGGTTCGATAAAGGCTCCACCATGAGTATAAATGATAACAGAGGATTATTATAAGATAACCACTAGGGTCACATGATTTCATGTCCTACATACACAACTAAGCAGTACACACAGCCACCAGCAGAGGGCTGCAGTCTCTTTCCAGACAGAGTTGTTTGCTGTCGTTTCAATCGAGAAGTATGACAGATGTAGAGCCAAACTTTGGGCTCATATGAACTGAATTACAGAGAAGCATTTACCAGCGAGGCAACTTTCAAACGTGCATTTAAGCCTTTGGAAACTGCCCAGCCCACACTGTCAATGTGACTGTGTGTAAAGAGAACTGTCTGTTTGTTTGTTTGTTTGGAAGCTGAGGTGGCTTTTCCGGACACATACACTTACAAACACTACAACTAATATCCTGGATCTCTTTATGGGATGGTAGCACAATGCAGGGATTTAACTGCTTGCTTCACACTTCCCAGAATGAATACCTTTACAAAGATGGAGACAGTTTGGTTCAATTGTGGTTTTGCAACTGTTCCTTTTTGGGGTTAACTAAACAGCAGCAGAGAAACAGCACGTATGTGTTTTACCTCTTGATTCTGTTCCTATCTGTCAAACATCAATGAGAATGGTCTTATCAACTGTGCATGTAGAATAAAATAAAAACGTATCATTATTTATTTATTCCACGGGCCACAAATGCACATGTTTTATTTGTAAGTTGATTTCATTAATCTACCAAACAATACAATTAAATACAGACATAAAATCTCTGATCTTGTACAAATGCAGCAAACAGCATTCCCCTGCTAAGATGATTATTGTAATTGAAAGCTATTCTAAATAAATGCTGATTACCAGCTCGTATTTCTTAGGGACAGATTGAATTAGCTTTTGTCCAACATGCTTACTAATTTGTACAACTCACTTATTACACAACCAATTGACTAAACACTCTCCCTGCCACATTTTCACATCATGTTCACCATTAATATAATCTATTAATGTCATAGGGAAAGGCACTATACTTTTGTGCTTTGCTGCCTTCCTTCCTGTAACATGACCCTGATGTCACCTCTCTGTTCACCATGTAAACACACAGCAGACGGTTTGCACAACACTGCAATCTGATCATGAGGTAAAAGTGGCACTGTGTGCAAAGTATCGGGCTGAAGATAGCAGCATTAGACAGTCTGTATGGACAGATTTAAAAAAACAGAAAAGTATCCCATACTGCCTCTTGGATGGGGGGGGGGTTGCTGATGTTGGATGTCTGAAAAGATACTGAACATGTTCCAAAGTAGGAAACAAAACTGAACACTAACGTATTGCTTTCTTATTCATATTATAACGAAAGAATCAAGATGAAAAATAAATCAAATTTAAACTACCAAGCTACAATTGAAATGGGATCTTGTACTCAGTCAGCATGACTGTGTGAGTGTGTGTGTGTGTGTGTGTGTGTGTGTGTGTGTGTGTGTGTGTGTGAGTGTGTGTTCCAGGGGTGACTAAACTGCTGATAAACTCACACTGTCAGTAGGCCCCTAATGACCTGTGTGCCAACAAAAAGCCATCACCCGAGTCATGTGAAGCTCTCAAATGACACAACAATGGCTTCAATCTGCTGGTCCACAACATTAACAAAACCTAGGCATTAGCATAGAAACGAATAGAATGGAATACAATCAGGTCCAAGGGTTTTTTAGGTCAAGCCTGTCTGTTTTGACACGACTAACCTTTGGCTTTTCAAAATGTTCAAAGTCCATGTTCAAAGCATGTAGCTCCTTAAGCACTGATCTAGTTTTGATTGAACTTGGAGGACATAAATGCCTAGTTTTCTCCGGTTACTAGTATGAAATATGATTGGTTTAAATAAGCTTAAGTTTAATATGATCATGGTGCATACGACTACTTAGCTATAGGCCTAGATACCTAGTATTTGTACATTATTATTTAGCCATGATTACTCTACATCTGCAAAAGAAATACAATTCTGAGATACAACTCAATTCTACCTAGGCTACTGAATCCTGCAGTAAAATAAACAGTGCACACAGAAACATTCAGCAAGCAATAATCTTTGTAATAATCTGCAATTAACATGTTTTTATTTGGTGCTCAATAATATGCTGATTCATTTCTCAACTGTGCATTCCTTGTCTAGCTCTGAAATGCCATAACATGGCATCGTCAAATAGTTTTGTTTGGGCGGACACATCATTCTGCAGGCTGTTAAATGTGTCATAATTAAACATCACAAGATCTCAATACCTGACATACAGGTAGCCTAGAAGTGGTACGGGCAACTTTGACATCACAACTAGACAACAGTCGTGCCAGCCAGCCAGCCAGCCAAGGTGATGAAGATGTGCTTTAACAAAACACTCACCTATAACCGCACACCAGGCGATGATGAGCACGGCCAAAGCGTGAAACAGCTTCATCTCTCAGATCGGAGGGCAGAGAAAAAAAAAAAAAACAACAACAACAAGAGGAGCCGCTTCAGGCAGCAGGTGGGTCCTTCACGAGCGCACCGTGAATTGCACTTGACTTCGCGGACTGTTATCTAAAATGCGAGGCGTGACGTCACTGCTAAGCTTCTGTCCGTGTTAAGACGAAATAATAATTCAGTGTTCATAAGACAAGTCCCGTTGGAAACGACCGGTTTTAACGCGGTTCAGATGTCGAGCACAGAGCCGACTGCAGAAACCAGTCTCCTCCTGGTCTCCTCACGTCATGTGAACTGGTAACATTTAGAGCTTCCCAGTCACGTGAGACCGCCCCCCCCTTTCATTCTTCCACGAGCTTCATTCAGGGCAAATACTTATCATCGGTGTTTTTGCCCTGAAATGAAAACAAAATGTCATACATATGCACAGTGGAGGAAGAGTTTTGGAAGAAAATGCGTTTTAATAAGTAAGACTTAATACAGACTTACATAACTCTACATAATCTAGGGTAGGTGTTAAGAGGACCCCTTAAGAGGAAAAAACAGGGCGTTTCAAGGAACTCAGTTACAATGAGAGAACTCACACTTGTGATACATGTCATGGCTTATAATTAGAAAAATTACTCAGCTGTGATGACAGGGGAATATATCCTTACCTTTAATGTTAAATGTCAAGTAGGCTACCGCACTTCTAAATTCACAAGTTCCCCATAAATGTTACTGGAACACAACTTTTATTATTAGTGGCATTAGTTTTTTTTTTTTTAATAGGCCTGCCTAGCATTGTAACATATTCATTATATGGTTATGTTTAAATTCAGAATCTGGAGCCCAGCAGTTTTCTGTAAAAGGAAAGGCAGCACGTGAAAGCGCACACGCACACGGGCACACACACACACAATGATGTGCAGCCTGAAAGTGCATGAGTTACTGGTAGTCAGCTGACACCTCCATCAATTCACGAGGGTGTGTAAAACCCCAGAAGGAACGCAGGGGTTGCTTTAATGCTGCTGTCGAGGACTTATCAGGACCCCACCACATTCCCCTTTCATAGTTTAGTCAGACTTTTACAAACTGCATGTATTATTTTTGTCTTAAAATCAAAGTATATTGTAAAACATCCCTTTTTTCAATCATACAAAATCTGTACTTTCTTGCTGTAATATTGAAAGTAACAAGAACATCTTTTTATTTTCAGTTAAATCTTCCAGTAACTTGAGAGGGACACATTTCTATCAGGTGATGATTAGCTCTTGCTGAAAGTAGGAGAGCTTTCAACAAGCTCAAGCACATAGAAGGAATCTAAACACTGTGGGACATGTTTGTGATGTCCATATTTTGATCCTTAAATGGCACACAGCACAGCTGCATGGTAGACAGAAGTCTTTCATTGGACTCACTTGCTGTCAGTAAAGTTGGGCATTGTTTAAAAAGTTGTATCAGTATCAAATAAGATTACTTTTGAAGTGACACAAAAAGCGATAGAGTACATCATTTGATACCCTTCTACTTCATTCTATACATATGTTGTGAAAGGCATTCACTTGCACAAAATGCTGCAAACATACCTCCTTTTTTTTCTCTGATTTGTTTTACATTGATCATAGTTAATCATTAAAGCAATGATATTGGTCACAGTTTCAAGATGTATTTGACATCACCAAACCACAAAGAGTTGTAGCTGCTATAGTGGGAAAATCACATATCACATTCAATTGATAAATGCTTGAGATGACTGCAAACAAATACCCCACAAATATGTTTTGTTTTCCAGAAGTGTGGTACAAAAATGACTGACTGCAAAGTAGTGTTTGATCGGGGCACTTTCACACCTACTTGGTAAGAGTATTTCGTTTTGATTGATACAACCCAGCCTCTACTTAAAAGTGTGTAGCAAGTCCAATTGTGAGAGGTAACAGGGCAGACATGCATTAGAATATAAAACATCTACCACTTTCTGGATATTTACAAATCATTCAGAGAATCATTAAATATCCATTTATTCAGGTTCACTTTTCTCACTCTTACATAGAATACAATCTGATCTACAAAAAAACATCAGCACATGACATTGGACATTTTGGTCAAAACATATAAGGTACCCAAAGAAATACCCAAGTGGCTTACCTGCGTGTCATTCAGCTTCTGTGTTACAAGCAATGAACCCTCCCCCTGGCCCAAACAAGTCCGACCAAAACCCCTCTTCATCCCTCACAAGTCTCTTGTCAAGTCTTTATATGTCTTCAATAGAAGTTTCTCTGCCAAACCAAGACACCAACCAATCAGTTTACACTTAGCAGTTGTAGAAGCCATTCATATGGAAACACCCTGATCAAAACTTAAAATAAAACAAAAAAAAAAAGAAGAAAAAAAAACTTAAAACTCAAGACAAACCGACTATTGTAGAAAATAAGTGATTTTAGAACAACTTGATGGAGAAAAATAAATCCCAATCCCGGAAAGAGAAAAAAAAAAAAAACAGATTAGAGGAAAGTGCCAAGTTATTGTCAGTTAAGTTTTGCATTAGCAGATTTGTAAGTCACAGAAACCAAACATCAAAAACCCGGGTCATTCCTCACGCCCCCATCCCACCAAAGATAACGCAGGGTGGGACCAGTCCAGCCAAGTCTCTCTCGTCTCCGGAGCTCTGTGTGATCTGGACGCTGCATCCAGGATCGTGAATGGAGGGAAAGATGAGCACCAGAGGAGAGTGGGGGTGCTAAAGAGTGGTGATGCTGTTTTTTTTTTTTTCCGTTTTTTTTTCGGGAGGGGGGGGGGGGGGAGCCACCTGTACGCTTGCTGTGAGGAAAGCATGGCTGTAACAGTGGCCCCCCTTCAGGCAACATAGTGGTACTGGTTAGGAGTCTCCTTGTCACGCTCCATGTAGTCTCTGTCTATGAGCGACTCGATGCGCTTCTTTAGATCGCCCGGCTGTGGAGAGGAAAGCAAGGTCGATGTTGAGAGCTCTGTGTGTTTGTGTGTATGTGCTGGGAGACAGAACAGTGAAAGTGAGATGGTTAGGATACCTTGACAGGGAACTTCAGCTGGTTGTAGAGCTCCGACACCAAAAGGTTGTGACTAAGAGTCTTCCTCATCTTCATGATGCGCACCACAGCGGCATCAATCTGATACTGCCTGTCTTGAAACACACGCTCTGTGGTGCTCACCTGCTCCTCTACCTGTAAGAATGTGTTTGAAAAAAAGATTAGAACCCCACAATAGCATAGTCAACACATGTGGGTGGCAAGGAAAATACAGAATATAAGCGAAAATACAAAATGTTAAACACATTTTCTATTTTCTAAGACTACTAGAAGAGCAAAAATACGAAAAAAAAATGACTTTATACAACACTTTAAAAGACTGCACAGTTATTATTTAAATTTACAGACAGTCTTTCTTGTGTGTGAAAATGCAACAAAAAAATGTTTTTACCGTTTCCTTCATTTGGATCTGGTTGATCTTGATGCGAAACAGTTTGTGTTTAAAGTCATTGTTGAAATTGAAACGGTCTCCATCCTCCACGTCTTTGCCCCGAGGGTTTTTGTTGAGTACGCGGGCCTTCCCGCAAGCCAGAGACTGCAGCGTACGCTTAAGCTCTCCTTCCTCTGTGCAGGATGAAAAAAAAAACGATAATACCACACTCTCCCAAAACAGAACACTTTTGATTGATATTGAAAGACATGGTTAACCTATGCCAGTGGCGGTGCGAATCTCCTCCACGCTGAAGTCTTCTCCCTCAGTAAACATCAGCAGCACCAGCGTCTGGAACAGAGAGACCTGCAGCTCCTTCTTGCCCTGTAGGAGAAAGCACGCATTGTCACTGCAGCTCAGACGTTTTTCTATAGCCATTTTGTCAGGATGCACCCACCATATCCTTACCTCTTTAAACTCTGCCTTTAGTACAGCATGGCCCAGTGTGGGCTGCCACTGCAGCTTCCTCCCGCTGTGCTTCCCCAGGTAGAACAGCTTAAACACCTCCTGGAGTTTAACCATCTAACATAACATAAAGAGATGAAGTTCATACCAAGATCCTGAACACAGTCTGTGAAGGGTCAGATGATGACCCGGCTAGGTTTGGAGTATTAAAATGACCTCTAGATCTGATACTCATTAATATATTACGGTAATCATCAAATATTCTGCCAAGTTTCTAGATGAATCTATTAATTGTTTAACTACCAGGAAATCTCTGTTTGTGAGGCTGAAAAGGCGTTTGCCATGTTTGCGTGAATAAATACTTAAAAGATTATCACAATTGTAGAAAATAATTTTTTTGTCAATCCAATAATCCTCTAGGCAACTTATCAGTAAAGCTTCAGCGACACCAGGGAAAAATACAGCGAACCAAGATCAATTGAATAAATGACTAAGAACATTTCTCATTGAATATCGTTTACAAACACAGTCTGATTATAGTTCTACTTTATCCACAACAGAAATGTTGAACTCGAGCATTAGGCAGCTTTATGTGCATTAACCGCTGATAGTTAATGCTCATAAAGCTGTTTATTTTGTTGTTAGTGCAAATAGTGTGCACATAAAAAAAGCTTACCTCTGGGGGAAGGTGGACCTCCATGGGCGTGTATGAAGGCCAGTAGCCCATGGTGAGGATGTTGACTGTAAGTTCTATGTTGCTTGGCTCGCTCTGGTTCTGGATATACTGAATTATGTATGACATATGCATTCATTGACACAGTACAGTGGGATACAAGCACATACTGTTAATCATGTTATCAACATCTTTCATGTTTGAAGTGAGAGACTGCACAAACCTGTTTGAACTGGATCATTATGTCTTTGGACAGCTCCATGTCCTTGAACATCCCCTCTAGCTTGCTGGTAAATGCTGCTCCGCATTCTGGAGAAAGTGAAAACCACAAATATCAGAGCTGACTTCTTCTCCCCACTCTGACTGACTATTAACCTTTTTTTTTTTTTTTTTTTACCAATTATCATCATATATTGAGCTGGCTGTGGCATGTCACTCCTGAGTGTTTGTGTGCTTGTGTATGTGTGTGTGTGTGTCCGTGGATGGCAGGCCAATGAAATGGATAGATATATACTTTTTTTTTGTCACTGCACATCAAATCCAATGACATTTGGTTTGGCAGCAGTCCAACCTGCATAGCAGCATAATGTGTATATGCATATAGATTTAAACACATATACTGTCACATATAAAACCCACTTCAAATTAAATATGGTCCTGAACTCATTCAGCTCTACAAACTCAAAATGTTTGACTGTAATATTAAGTGTTGTAAAGTTGAGTAATAGTATGAAATAAGTAGTGAATCTTG